TGTGCTGCTCAGAGACACCACAAGATGTGCAATGACTGGGGATCAACCTGGGACTTTCGGGTCCCGGATCGGCTGCCCTTCCTCTACCCCATCTTGGCCCCCAATAGTCGAGCCGCAGCATTTTGGACGAGTCAGCACGGACTAAGCTTAGCTATCTGCCTTAACTGGAAGAAGCTTTTTTTTTTTCTAGAACAGAGTTGATCTGTTTATTAAACTTAAAGTCAGAGTCTAAAACCATCCCAAGGTCTGTAAGACTGCACAAAAAAGTAAGGAGATTGTGTTTGGTTGATGTATTTGTTGTAACAATTCTTGGCAATAAATTGTATCCTATTCAAAGCCTGATTATTATTAAATGGTGTCAAACAGCTTATTCTGCTAGATGACCTTGTTTGGTGGCGTTCATCAGACCGGATGACTGAAGTCTGGAGGAAATAAACTAATAAATTGGGAAAATAAAAGTTTGGAAAAGTTCATAAAGACGGTTTATTTGAGTTGCACTGTATCAAAGGTCGCATAACCTTTTATCACTCACAGTCTGACGTTAATTCAGACTAAACGTTTAGCGTTTTAGATCATTTAGGGTTGCCAACACAATTTGCTGTTGCCACATACATTAAAAGTAAGAGATCATTTTGTAATACTTTCCGTACACTTAAACAGCATTTCCTTTAAACTGTGTGACTTTGGTCAAACATTTTGAGTTTCCTTCCACAAGCTTATCACAACAGTTTGTTCCAGTCCTCCCCACAGAACTGGTGGAACTGCGGCAGGTTTGTTCAGCCCATATCGGCTCTTCCCATAAATGTTCTATGGGATTGAGATGGCTCCTCCAAAACACTGACTTTGTTGACCTTATGCCAGTAGGCTTGGAGATATTGTGCATTTGAAGAATTATTTGTGTCCAAGCTTTACTTTCCTGGTTGATGTTTTGAGATGCTTCAGTATTTCCACGTTTCCTCGTGATGCCATCTATTTTCAAAGAGCACCAGTCCCTCCTGAAGCAAAACAACCCCCCCAACAGGATGCTGCCACCCCCTTCACAATCAGGACAATGTCAGGCTTGAAAACTTTGTCCTTTTCCCTCCAAATGTAGCGATGGCCATCCTGGACAAACCGTTCTCTTTTCGTTTCAACAGACCACAGGACATGTCTAAAAATCTTAAGTTTTTTGTCCTTTTGTACCTTAGCAAACTATAATCTGTCTCTTTGTTGTTTTTTGAGTAATAGCTTCTTCCTCACTGAGTTTCAACCTATGTTAGTCCAGGTCACTGTGGATAGTAACACTTTCTGACCAGCGTCATTGACATCTTCACAAGGTCTTTAGCTCTTGATTTGGGGTCGATACATCCATCCATCCATTATCTTTTACCCGCTTCTTCCATTTTGGGTCACTGGGGTCACCGGTGCCCATGTCCAGCAATCACTGTGCGAGGGGCGGGGTACGCCCTGGACAGGTCGCAAGTCCATCACAAGGACACGTAGAGACAAACGAGACAACCATTCACTCTCTCACTCACACCTAGGGACAATTTGAAGTTACTAATCAGCCTAACATGCATGTCCTTAGTCTGTGGGAGGAAACCGGAGAACCTGGAGAAAACCCATACACGGAGAGGACATGCAAACTCCACCCAGAAAGGCCCCCGGTCAGGGATTTGAACCAGGGACCTGCTTGCTGAGAGGCAGCAGCTCTACCAGTTGCGCCACCGTGTTGCGGGGTCAATACATTTCACACCAAAGCAGGTTAATTTAAGGAACACAGAACCCGTCTCATTCCTGACTGGTATGATGACAGGGCATTCCCATGGTGTTTATACATGTGTATAATTAAACAGATGAACGTAGCACCTTCAGATACCTGGAAATTGTACCCAACGATGAACCAGAGTGCGTCGACAGGTCTCTTCCGCTTACCTTGGCTGATTTCTTTTGTTTTTTGACTGATACCACAAAGGAGCAGTGCCATTGAGTCTTAAAATGAATCTACCGTACATGTGCGCCTTCAATTACCTCAAATGTTGTCCTGCAGCCGTTCTCAGTCAGAAAATTCTGTGGTGGTGCAGATGAAAGCAAGCTGTGCACTCATCATGATCCGCCCTGAGCATTTTTTAAGTAGCTCTTCACCAGGGGACCCTTGTCCTCATTATCAGGAGTGGGAGTGTGGGACAGAGGAGGTGGGGTGGGGGAGCCCGCAGATAGATTGTTTGTACATGCTTTGGAGACTGATGTTGGTTGCAGGTGCTGTTAGGTACAGCCCTCTAGACCTGGTTCGGTGTGCTTTTTCCTGCACTGAGGTTCTGACGTTCAACAACGCAACAAGGTTCATTGGTGGCTTGTTCTGGTTTATCCAGTGTTTTGCCATTTCTCTTCCCATGAGCCACATCACTGTTCAGCGGTTACCCACTTTTCACACCAGCATTGGCGCACTTGAGGTTTTAAAAAGGTAATTCTTCCAATGTTGAGTTTTTTTTCTTTTCTTGCATTCATCCTTGAATGCTGTCTCCAAGGAGGGAAGCGTGATTGTGTTGACTCTCAGCCATTCTCACATGTTTTAAGATTTCACAACGCCAACATGTGAGGAAACTCTTCAGATTGCTCTCAGTTGTTTCCTGGTACAACGTGATAAGATGCCGGTAGTTATTTTCATATGCTAGACAGAGAAAGTGGATCCTCTGCTGTTTTTTTTTTTTTTTTTTTTTTTTTTTTACTTGCTGTGTGGCGTTGAGATTCCAGAAGAGGTCCTTGGTGATGTAAACACATTGTGTACCAAGAAAATGACGATACTCCAAATACTCGTTTATCTACTTTTAGAATCGGATGTTTACATCCACTCACCATGAGCATAAATGTACTTGAACTGTTCTTTGTCCGGGATGGGATGTTTATACAACCTGCAACTTCAGTGCTTTTGAAAAACAAGAATGGGGTGCACAAGCCTGAGTTTGTTGTGGATTATCTCCCATCTACACTGGGTCGAAGTTATGCATACAAGCTCAAATATGTAGAAAGTTGCACCTCAACCACAGGCTTTTTGTATCCATCCACAAGCTTCTGGTAGAATTCTGGTTGATATTCTTCTTCTGGGCAGAGTTAGTAGAGTTCATTTAAATGTGTTGGTTTCTTAAGCGTAGATCTTGCTTTCAAACAAGATCCCCAAATTTTCAACCACACTGAGGTTGGTTGCTTTTTGAAGGCATTTCAGAAGCTAATATCCCGTTTTATCCAACTAGAAACCAGTTCTGATGTGTGTTTGAGACTAGTATCCTATTGGAACGAGGCCCATCACGATAACAAATTTTGCTGGGTAATTAATTGTCTCAGAAATTATTGCGATAAATGATAATGTTGTTTGAAATTTAATAATAATCGTCAACTTTTAGAAGAAATGTTGATTTGTTTTGCATGCAGTACCTTTTTTGACCACCTGATGGCAGGATAAGACTGTTTGAACCAAAGGATGGATAGTTGAGCAGCGTGTCTCTTTAAGAAAAATGGGAGGGAGGGCCCTTGACGTGGCATGGTGATATGGCGTACGCTCGGTGATTTGAGCTCTTTAGCATAGCATTTTTAGCCTTTCCTGCCGTTTTTTTTCTCATGGAAAATGAATTGAGCTCATTTTACATCCTTAATATCTTTAGATCTGTTTACAACGTTTTACTGCTGTTGGTTCAGCTTCTTTCCGCTTCCTTGTGCAAATGTAAAAAAAAAAAATCTACTTTCAGCTAATTTCAGCTGCTTTGCACTCATTTCAGATTCTTTCTGCTAACTACAACATTTTTTTGCCTATTTTAACATATTTCTGCTGATTTTAGCTTGTTATGCTCCTTTCAGCTTATTTCTGCTATTTCAGCTACTATTTAGCTTTTTATGCTAATTTTAGCTTTTCTAGCTAATTACACATTTTTTGCACTCATTTGAACATTTTTCAGCCTAATTCCGCAAAAATAAGCTCTCCCACTTCCTTCTGGTTATTTAAGCTTCTTTTAGAAATATTTAACTACTTTTCAGCAGTGTGTTTTTTTTGTTGTTGTTGCTAATTTCAGCGTTTTTCATAATAATATCCACTTTCCAGTGCTCATTTCTGCTTATTTCTGTGTAATTGGGTGAACATGTTTTTTCTGCTTCTGGCTTGTTCTACCATTTCAGCTACTTTTTTTTTTTAAGCATTTTAGCATTTTTCAGCTAATTTCAGCTGTCTTCAGATAAATTCAATTTATTTTGGTAATGTCTGCTACTTTCAGTCTAACTTCTTTCTGGTAATTTCAGCTTTTTTCTACTAGTTTATGCTTTTGCTGCTATTTTGGCTACTTTTTAGCTGTTTTGTGCTAAATTTAGCTTTTTCAACTAATATCCACTCATTTTAGCTCGTTGCAGCTCCTTCCACTTCCTCCTGGTAGTTTAAGCTTCTTTCTGCCTTTTCAGCTATTTTTTTTTGCTAATTTCAGTTTATTTATCTAATTTCCTAATTTTTGCAATAATTTGCTTATTTAAATCCAATTTAGCAAATAGTTGTTCTTTCTGCTTTCTTCTGTTAACTTAGGCTTGTTCTTCCATTTCAGCTACATTTCAGCATGTTTTTAGCAAATTTCAGCAGTTTTTTCAGCAAGTTCTTCAGCATTAAGCATTCACACTGCATTTTCTTACTGTAGCTTTAAGAGAATATGTGTATGTTTCAGATTCTATGTATCACATTGGCCCTTTGTGGGTCAATGTGCATCACAGTTCTTGTTTAAAAAAAAAAAGTCATTGAAGTTGTACATTGTAGATTAATTCCTTGCTGGGAAAGAATGGTTTAAGTAAATTAATTAAAGCCCTGTATGTGCTGGTATAATAATAATGCCCATAATGGGTGGATGCAAACATTTGACCATAACTGTACCCATACCAAGCGAACAGTGGACCAATACTAATATTTGCGGAATCTGCTTGTTTCTGCTGCAAATGTTGGCCTGATTGTTCCAAGGTACATTGACCATTCTCTGTTCTTTGTCCCAATCCAGCCACCAGACCCAGACAACATGCTGGGACCATCCCAAGATGACCGAGCTCTACCAATCTCTGGGTAAGCTGTGCTTTCTTTCACACTGGACAAAAAACACCAATTAGACAGTAGTTGTACCCATCTGTCAGTTGCTTAATGTCCTCTTTGGTTGAACAGATATTGGTAAATGTTAGCCAGTGTTGGTATAAATTGTCCGTCATTTAGGACTAGAGTTGCAAAATTCCAGAAATTTTCAAATTTGAAAAGTGTCCTTGGGAATTAACTTGGATTTTAAAATATTGAAGGTTAACCCTTTACAGGGAATTTAAATAAATGGGGAAAAGATGTTTGGAAAATAGTAGTCTTAAGCCTAGGCTTAGAAGTAGACAGCATCAACCTGCAGTCTACAACAGAAGTGCTCTGTTAGGAACATATGGAACAATAAGACCACGAGTGTAAGATTATTTACACACTTAATCTGTTTGATCTGTCTCACTACTTGTCCAAAGTTAATGTTGTGAGATTTTTTTTTTTAAACATTATCTGTCAATGGACAAAATGGATTTATAGTGTGTATATTACTGATATTTATTCACATATTTTAATTTAAAGATGCAAATGAAAAGACTAACTCCACTGATTATCAGTGGAAATAAGTTCAATGGACTTCGTTTGAACCATGCGAGCACGTTAAGTGGAATTTGTGACACCAGTGCAGATGTTAGTCCCTGCACAGTTGGCCCATTTGTCTTCATTTGTTCCTGTTGTGTTCTTCAGCCGACCTGAACAACGTTCGGTTCTCCGCCTACCGCACAGCCATGAAGCTCAGACGCCTGCAGAAAGCACTCTGCCGTAAGTGCTTTTCCTGTTTACACAGATCTGTATGGGGCTCCAAGTCCTCTGTTCTATCATGATTGCTTCTCACACGAATATGAACGAAATCGCAATCTCATTGGTTTTTCTAGTACGTTATTTCCCCGTACTACTGACGCTGGTTAATGGTGTAGTCCATTTTCTGTGGCGTTCTTCGTCTTGATCTTGCCTCTTCTGCCTTCTTAGTACCATCGGTTCACCTCTGTTTTATAGGTTTGTGAGCACCAAGAGTCCATTGATGTTTCTCTCCTCTTACTGCTGGATCAAAATATGAATTGGCAACATGTTGCGCTTTAGTTTGTAGCTTAGAGAGGCTTTCTGAAAAAAGATAGTACCACATTTCAACAGTAATTATACATAGTAAATGGTAAATGGACTGTACTTATATAGCGCCTTTCTATCTTATCAAGGTACTCGAAGCTCTACAATACAATCTGTGCCCTCATTTACCCATTCATAGCACTTTACTATATTTATACAAATATTATTCAGAGCTTTATCACATTCATACACCGATGGGACACACATCGGAGCCAATGAGGGGTTCAGTGTCTTGCCCAGGAACGCTTGAGCATGTGACAGCTCGTGGAGTCGAGCCCCCAACTCTCCCATTGGAGGACGACTGCTCTAACCACTCAGCCACAGCTGACACTACATGCCCCAGTAAACCTGGTGGGCAAGTGCTTCTTTATATTACAACCTTTGCTTTTGTACACAAGTGTTTCCCCTTCCATTATACAAGGAAGGCGCCCCGCCCTGTCAGCAGAACCGATCGCCCTACCTACTGAACCAAACAGTCAACCCCCCACCCCGACAAATGCCAGCATTGACGTAGTGCTAAGCTATTGGTGCGCAATACAGATGCGCTAGCTAAAAAGCTACAGAGGTAGCGCTCTGTTTCCCTGAGTCTGAGCCGTCTCCACCTCCCCCACCACTGTTTATACCGACAGTTTTAGAGCGGGGGGGTTTGAGTGTGAGGGTTCAGCATGAGGGAAGAGGTTGCCTTTAGCTTTTTAGCTAGCTCACCTGTAGTGCGAGCCGCTGGCTTAGCGTTACGTCAGTGCCGACAGATGGTTGTAGTGGCGGGGTGTGTGCGCGGTTCGGTAGATGAGGCGCACACTTCTGTTGACGGGGCAGGGCGCCCCGCTTGTATAATGGTAGGGGAAGCACCGATGAGAGGGTGCCTGAAATTTTTTCTCCTCTGTGAGGGGTCCCTGAACCCAAAAAGTTTGAGAACCTCTGCCTCAAACAAGCCCAAACTACAAGCTCGCCCCCACCGTGCTTAACAGTTGGTAAGAGGTGTTTGATTTGCTAAATATGCTGCTGTGCATTATGGGTAAACATCAAATATTTGGTCTCCTCTGTCCAGAGGACATTGTTCCAGAAGTCTTCTTGTTCATTCAGATGAAACTTTACAAACCCAAGTTGTGCTGCCATGTTCCTTGTTTCCTTTAGAGTCATTAACAGTGCACTTTATTTATGTAGCACTTTATTTCAGTCTTCTGAACTACGCTCCTTCCTCTGCCTTCCGTATTTCTTCAGTGGACCTGCTGAGCATGCCGGCAGCGTGCGAGGTGTTCGAACAGCACAGTTTGAAGCAGAACGAGCAGCTGCTGGACATCTCCCAGCTGGTCAGCTGTCTGACCAGTTTGTATCAGCGGCTGGAGCAGAGCCACGCCCACCTGGTCAACGTCCCGCTGAGCGTAGACATGTGCCTCAACTGGCTGCTCAACGTCTACGACACGTTTGTGAAACTCGCTCAGCACATGATTTTTTTTATTTATTTTTAATTAAGGAGTTCTGGTTCCTCTGATGTGTCTGTTCATTTGACAGTGGGCGCACTGGAAAGATCCGGACTCTGTCGTTCAAAACTGGAGTCATCTCGCTTTGCAAGGCTCACCTGGAAGATAAATACAGATGTAAGTGAACGCAGCATCAGGATGACCTGATGAAAGTCTTACTTACGGTAGTACCTTTAATTTTATGTAAATCAAAGCTGCCCTATTTTCAAATGATTGTTGCAGTATAAGCTGCTCTTTCCAAACAAAGTAAATTAGGGTGAGATTTTGCTTTAAATAATTAAAAGTAGAGATTAAACATTAGGATGTAAAAGCTTTGATCTGGTAAAAGAGGAAGTTGATTTACTTACTGTCACGATAATACATTTTGCTGGGCAATTAATTGTCTCAGAAATTATTGCGATAAACGATAATATTGTTTGAAATTTGACAATAATTAGTAACTACTGTCAAATTTAAGAAGAAATGTTGGTTACTTTTTGTGTGTAGTGCCTTTTTTTGACCACTTGATGACATTACAAAACTGTTTGAACCGAAGGATGGATAGTGAGGGAGTGAGCAGCGTGTCTCTTTAAGAAAAATGGGAGGGAGGCCCCTTGACATGACATGGGCTGTCTCTCTTCGGTTCTCAAAATGGCGGACGCTCTGTGTTTTGAGCTCTTTAGCATTTTTCACACAAAGCTTTTAATAAAAATCAGTTAACAACTTCTCAGCTTCTTTTTGCGAGAAAAACAACTTTTTAGACGAAGGCACGGGTTTCAACTGTGAATTTTGGAGCTTCGACAAGACAAAGGTTTTTTCCCCGAGGTCGGCCTGTTAGCTTAGCTCGTAGCTTAGCTCATAGATTAGCTTCTCAGCTTAGCTGCTTTTAACGATTCAAAATCGTGATTTTGAATCGTTAAAACAGATTTTAAAGTGAAAAGAGAAAGGGAGGGGTCAGTGAAGAACACCGGAGTTGAGCCTTTTGTCATCCGGTGTCTTCAGTAGAAAGAGAGAGACACGAAGAAACGATAAAGTCGATAAATGAAAATGAGGTTGATCATTTTCATTTATCAGAATCATCATTGATTTATTCTTTACTTCGACAGGCCTACTTACAGTAGATAAACAATTTCAGTAGATTAAATAATTCTGTTTTATAAACACTTTGCTCCACATTTAATAATGATCATCACTGACTTTCCCGTGAATTTCTGTTATCTCAGTAACAAAGTGTTATGTCAAACTTATTTTGTAGGTAAGAGCATAATTAACTAGACTAGCTTCAACTCGACGAGCAATCCTGTGACGTTTTACTCTTACAAGATCTCGTTACGTCTACTCAAAATAATAGCTACTTTAAAACAGTATGTATTTAGAATTAAAAAAAAAAAATCTCATTTTCTTTTTTTCCCCTCCTCCAAATTTTAAAGAATAACTGTAAACTTCATCTCACATCCTGGCTCTTCCACTTCTTGTCTAAACGTGAACTGAGTTAATGCTGATTACCGTAATTTCTGGACTATAAGCCGCTACTTTTTTTCCCCCACACAATTTGAACACTGCGGCTTATACAATACTGCGACTAATTTATGGATTTATTTATTAAAATATTTAATTTTGACGGGCTAACGAGCTTAATGCTGCCAAAACATTTAGCCTCATCACACCCAGGTGCTCATATAGCTTCCCAATACACATCTCTCTTGGGGGGGTGTCCTCGGGACCCAGTGAGACTACCTGGGTTAAAAACAATGCAATAAAATCTGACCAATGAAATGGCTGAACAGGTCACAATGGATTATGATTTCACAATGGAAATAATTGTATAATTGTACTGTGCATCCCAAGTTAATAAGAAAAACAAATTTATTCTGGAAATCAATTAAATAAGATTATCAACTACAAAATGAAGGAAGTGTGGGGATTATTCTAGCCTCTTAGTCATGAATTCTTCCGTCATTTGATGGTCTTTCTATGGAAATGTGTTTATTGCACACAAAATGGCACTCAAACACAACCACCCCCCTACCATCCCATTCAAATGCCATCTCTTCCTTTCTGCCCCCTACCCTTCCTCTTCTCTCTGCAGTCTTGTTCCGGCAGGTTGCCAGCCCAACCGGCTTTTGCGACCAGCGCCGCCTGGGTCTTCTCCTCTATGACTCCATCCAGATTCCTCGGCAGCTCGGCGAGGTCGCATCTTTTGGCGGCTCCAATATCGAGCCGTCCGTCCGCAGCTGCTTTCAGTTTGTACGTGCCTCCTTTAAAGTATTTGTGTCTGTTTGGGGTGGGGGGGGTGTATATCCCCAGATGTGTAACTGATGTGGTGGGTTTGTGTAAACATCCGAGTACTCCCCTTGTCATTTCTCGCAGTCTGTCTGGGAGTTTCCTGGCAGTTTGTTGTCCTTGCTAAATATATACTGTACCTGCACACTGGTGGTAAAACAATGAACTTTTCAGAAGAACAGAAAAACCACTAGTGCTATCGAAACGTCTCTCAGCTCGGCCTTTTGGATCTCTCCCCCACCCCGTATGTGGTTTTCTGTACATATGGTTCATAACAATAGCATCTAAATCACCCATTGAAATGTATCTTATTGACACACATCACACTTTAGTCAATCTTATCGGAGCAAAAGAACTGGATGCAGGAACATGTAGTACAAATTTAGGACACATTGTCAACCATACAACTTGTATGTGTCTGGTTTTTTACTTTTTTTTAGAACCTTTTTCCGATATTCACACGTACCTTTTCAGGACCAGTAGTCCTTTTGAAGGCCAAAGTCCAGTCCAAATACAACGGAGCACCAGTTTTGGGTTAGAAGATGGGTTTAGGACCAAGGTGTGAAATGGGTTTAGGTATATATGAATAGTCGAGTGTTTCCTCTACCGTTATACAAGAGGGGTGCCCCGCCCCATCAACAGACCCAAGCGCACCGTCTACTGCCCGCCGCACCCCCAATCAACAATTGTCCGTATTTATGTCGTACGGGGCGCAATACAAATGCGCTAGCAAAAACGCTACTGACATACCGCTCTGCACACACACCCCACCCGGAGCAATTTAGCGCTAAGCTAGCAGGTGGGCAACACAGACGTGACACCACCCTCCCCCGGTCAATAAAACCCGGCAACAACATAGCGCTAAGCTAGCAGGTAGGCAACACATGCATGACTCCATCCTGTACACTCTCCCCCCCCCCCCACCCCCGACAAAAATAAAATGCGACAAGTGTCCTAACAAGGGCACTGATCTAACTGATAATAATGCTTAGGATTAAGAAGTAAATAATAATGATAAAAATCCAAATGTGTGTGTGTGTGTGTGTTTATTAGGGGTGTAAATCACCAGCTTTGCCACGATACGATATTACATTGATTTGTTTGTAATATGGAGTTATATGGAGAATATAAGATTGTCTAATAATTTTGATCAAATCTGGGATTTTTCTTTGCTTCACAAAAATGGGTACTGGTAGATAAAAAAAAAGTACAAATGTAATATTTAATTTAACAAGAACAGTCTCATCCAGTGTGTATTTTCTTATGTTTATATTAGCTTTTATGCTAAATAACTAATCTAGAATGAAACGTATATGAAAATGTCTAAATTTAACCACCTAAAAGTAGAAGAATATGTTTTATTAATTGCATTTCTCCACCTTCTTAATTAACACCCAGTGGAACGTCAAACATATGACTCCCATCTTATTTGGAGTTACTCATACTGATCTTTTTTACCATCTTGTTTCCTGCTCTAATGTTGGTTCCAAGGCCAACAACAAACCGGAGCTCGAGGCAGCCATGTTCCTGGACTGGATGCGTCTGGAGCCCCAGTCCATGGTGTGGTTACCCGTCCTGCATCGTGTCGCAGCCGCCGAAACCGCCAAGCACCAGGCCAAGTGCAACATCTGTAAGGAGTGTCCCATCATCGGCTTCAGGTCAGTCGCACCGCTGCTTCGCCACAAGTAAGGCTGTGGTCGTTTTGCAAAACAAACTCTCGAGGACAGTTTCCGCATTTTTAAAAATGTCCAGACTCTAGCTCTCGTTTTGTGAATATAAATTCACTGATGTGTAAGTGAGGCCTGATGAGGTGGAGGACAAGTTATGTCACATCAGCCGACGGGGCATGAAGGAACACTGATATGATTCTCAACACAAAACAAGACGCTTCTGTCGAGGACAGCTTGTCTGAAACTGAGATATACGCAACAGTTCACCAAAACAACTTAAAGATAATAAATCACAAGATAAACTAGAGAAATTGCATTTCCTGCGAAAATGCAGTGTGACTGACACTGCTGAAGAATGTGCTGAAAATCTGCTGAAATTAGCTCAAAACATGCTGAAATACAAGAACAAGCCTAAATTAGCAGAGGAAAGCAGAAAGAACACATATTTGCTGAATTAGGTTTAAATAAGCAGAAATTAGCAGAAGAATTAGAAAATTGGCTAAAAAATAGCTGAAAAGTAGCTGAAAAGTCAGAAAGAAGCTTAAACTACCAGAAGTAAGTGGAAGGAGCTGAAATGAGCTAAAAAATGTGGAATTGGCTGTAAACGCTAAATTTAGCACTTAAACAGCTAAAAGTAGCTGAAATAGCAGGAAAAAAACTGAAACTAGCAGAAAAAGCTGAAAGGAGCATAACGAGCTGAAATTAGCAGAAATAAGTTAAGTAGGTTGAAAGAAGCATAAATGAGCACAAAACAGTGGAAATTATCTGAAAAAAGCAAAAATTAGCAAAAAAAAAAAAAAAAGCCGCTGAAAAGAAGCTAAAAAGCAGAAAGAAGCTTAAACTACCAGAAGAAAGTGGAAGAAGCTGACATGAGCTAAAAAAAAAAAAAAAAGTGAAAGTAGCTGAAAAAGCTAAATTTTGCACTTAAACAGCTAAAAGTAGCTGTAATAGCAGAAAAAACGGAAACTAGCAGAAAAAAACTAAAAGGAGCACAATAAGCTGAAAGTAGCAGAAATTACCACAAAAAACTTGAATCTGAAAATGGCTGAAAGTAGCTAAAAATGCTTTAAAGAACGAGCTGAAAATGTAGAAGAAGCTTAAATTAGCCGAAGAAAGCAAAAAGAACATGTTTGCTGAAAGAAGCATAAATGAATACAAAAAAGTGGAAATTATCTGGAAAAAGCTGAAATTAGCAAAAGACAGCTAAAAAGTAGATAAAAAAGCAGAAAGAAGCTTAAATTACCAGAAGGAAGTAGAGAGAGCACATTTCTGCTGACTTAGGCTGAAAAATGTTGAAATGATTGCAAAAAATGTGGAATTAGCTGAAAAAGTTAAAATTAGCACAAAAACAGCTAAATAGTAGCTGAAATATCAGAAAAAGCTGAAACTTGTATAAATAAGGTGAAATTAGTAGGAAGAAATTAGAAAAAACACAAAAATGTTGTAGTTGGCAGAAAGAATCTGAAAGGAGCACAAAACAGCTGAAAGTAGCTGAAAGCAGTTTACATTTGCACAAGGAAGTTGAAAGAAGCTGAAGCAGAACAGAATGTGAAAGGAGCAGTAAAAGGTTGTAAACAAATATAAAAATTGACATCCGTTTCTAAAGAAAAGGCTAAATATTTCAAAAAGCTAAAGTTTCACCAATACCAAAAGTCAAAGCAGGATTGTCCTGAAACGGCTGAACGTTTTGATTTATGATTTGTTGAAATGGCACAAAAACTGTGGAACAAGGAAGATTCTGAAAAACGTCTGGAAGAAAAATGGATCACAGTGGAGTGAACGCTTCATAAGCCTTCACAGAATGATTTTAAACGAAGCGGATAAAGAGGCCGTTCTCGATGCGTTCCGTTTTTGTTTTGTCTCCACAGATATCGGAGTCTGAAACATTTCAACTATGACATTTGCCAAAGCTGCTTCTTCTCTGGTCGTGTTGCCAAGGGCCACAAGATGCAATACCCCATGGTTGAATACTGCACTCCGGTACGAGACTGTGAACATTTCTGGTCTGCGGCGTGTTCAAGAGTTGTTCAATAAGAATACGTTGCACATGTTTTAAATCTAAATAATTACAAGCTAATGAGTGGAATCAAAGATTTTATTTATGAAGCTATTGTTTCTTTGCTTATTTCAAACCTTAAAAATTCAAAAAAAATATTTAGATGCATTGCGTTCATATAAAATAATTCAGTTCATAACATATACATACAAATAATTTCTGTAATTTTAATCAACTGCTCAAAAAACATATATTTCTACCCTGACCATTTAAGTATTTCCAATTTATTAGCTAGTTTGACTGTATGCAATAAAACCAAAACATAAACGAATCCTCTCATAAACATCTGCTTGAATACATCTTTTAAATTAAATTATATGTATATAGATATTTACATTGCCATATATACATACTCATTTTTTCTTAATAACTAGCATGGTGCAGTGTGAACTTTACCGTCATGAGTGACAAATCGAATGAGTTGAAAGCAAAGTGATGATTTCTAAAAGGCGTGTTTGCCACTTCTCTGCTCCATCTCATCAGACCACATCTGGGGAGGATGTCAGGGATTTCGCCAAGGTGCTGAAGAACAAGTTCAGGACTAAGAGATATTTTGCCAAACACCCGCGCATGGGCTACCTCCCTGTCCAGACCATCCTGGAAGGAGACAACATGGAAACGTGAGGCTCGTGAACACATTCTCGTACATGTTACGCACACGTTACCAGGAAAAGGAAACTCGGGCTAAATTTCACAAGTTTCTACTAGAGCCCGACCGATATTGTGGACGCGGAGGTTAATGCCGATAACCGATATATTGGCTGAAAAATTTTGAGTTTTGGCCACGCCCAAGAATGTAAGTAAACGGCTACTTTTCAACTTGTTTTAACACTTAAGTCATTTTCTATCCTCCACTATCCTTCATAAAGTTATCAAGTGTTACAAAAATATAAATGAAAGAAACGCCCTTCCCTGTTCATTCTTTAACTAGTCATGTATGGTGAAGGTCTAATTAGCATTGACCGCTAGGCCTGTCGCAATAAACAATAAATCAATTAATCGCACGATAAATGAAAATTATCGACCTCATTTTCATTTATCGGATTTATCGTTTCTTCGCGTCTCTCTCTTTCTACTGAAGAGACTGGATGATAAAAAGGCTCAACTCCGGTGCTCTTCACTGACCCCTGCCTTTCTCTTTTCTTTTGGATCATTAAAAGTAGCTAAGCTGAGAAGCTAAGCTACGAGCTAAGCTAACAGGCCGACCTCGGGGAGAAAACCTCCGTCTTGTCGAAGCTCCAAAATTCCCGGCTGAAACCCGTGCCTTCGTGTAAAAAGTAGTTTTTCTCTGCAAAAAGAAGCTGAGAACTTGTTTTATTTTTTTTATTTTTCATTTTTTAAGCTCTGTGTGAAAAATGCTATGCTAAAGAGCTCAAACCACACAGAGCGTCCGCCATTTTGAGAACCGAAGAGAGACAGTCCATGTCACGTCAAGGGGCCTCCTTCCCATTTTTCCTAAAGAGACACGCTGCTCGCTCCCTCTCTATCCATACTTTGGTTCAAACGGTCTTATAATGCCATCTGGTGCTCAAAAAAGGTACTACACACAAAAATTAACGGTTTGTTCTGAAATTTAACAATTGTCAAATTTCAAACAATATAATCGTTTATCGCAATCATTTCTGAAACAACTAATCGCCCAGCAAAATTTGACAGCACTATTGATCGCAGCTGCGTTTTTTTTCTTTGCAGAGAAGTTTCAGCCAAACAATGCGTTTCATTGAGGACGACAAAGATAACGTTGCTAACACTGATGTATTTTACCTCTGCGTTAGATTTATTGTTCTGGATAAAGTTTTACAAGGCAATATGCTAGGTTATCTAAACGTTAGCTTGCTAACTTGAGAGGCACGTAGCTAATGACAAACGGGTTGGAGGGTTGAAGAGAATTTATTATTGTTTTTATTTTACAGATCAGTTAAAATAATCTTAGCATGCTCTGTTCAGCAAAATATGCTACAAAATTGTTCGCTGATTCGGCTGTGCTGAAAGTGAAACTTAAAGTGAACGGCCATAACTTGAAAGTAGTCTGCATGCGCCCTCTGCTGGATACATTGTACAATTACAGTTTGTTCCCAGCATTTTAGGGGTGAAAATTTTAAGTGTTTATATCGGCGCATAATGGGTCAATTATCACCGATACCGATATGTTCCCAAACGCCGATATATTGGCATGCTAATATATCGGCATGCCGATATATTAGCATGCTAATATATCAGCATGCCGATATATTAGCATGCTAATATATCAGTCGGGCTCTAGTTTCTACTGTGTCCACACTTTTAATTTGCCCCGTCATGGAGTGACGTGAGGAATTGGAAATACACCCCGTCCGGTTCATCTTGTGAGCTGAATAATTAACAAAATAAGTGAGGTTTCCACTTACATTTTCGAATGTCGACGTTTGGAACTTGATGTTTCAACTGAAGGAGCAGAGGTAATGGGACCACAGGTGTCCTGGTTGAATGTTCTATGCAATATTGCGAGGGGTACTAATGTAAAAACATCAATCTTGTGTGATTGAGTTATTTTGTGTCTGTACCTGGTGGGTGCGCAGGTTGACACTTACCAAAGTCCATCTCACACAGATTAATGACATTTTTCACACCGAGCAAATTGTGCCCAGCCTGTAAAATCGAAATATCTGAGTCGGTCTCCATTTCTTTCTCAAATGTTTACCTGAAATAAAATGCCTTTGTTCCTCTTCACATTTAAAGTTTTGGCCATAACAACTTTATTGCTCCTTATGTGGGGTCGCTTTAGTTGCATTTCATTTTGCAACTCTTTCACACACATTTTAACTTTCACATTTCTCTCTTTTTCACACACACACAAACCTTTCACTTTTTAAAAAAAATTTCTGCTCATATTTTTATCATTTATTGTTATTATTCCAAGCTAATTATGCCTATACAAGAAGCATGCAAGCGGCCAGGATGAGGATCAGTTCCTCCAAATCCGAGGCCATGGTCTTGGGAGTGCCCTCTCTGGGTCAGGGAGGAGGTCCTGCTCCAGGTGGAGGAGTTCAAGTATCTCGGGGTCTTGATCACGAATGAGGGAAAAATGGAGCGAGGGATCGATGGGTGGATAGGTGCAGTGTCGGCAGTGAAGCGGGCGCTGTACAGGTCTGTTGTGGTGAAGAGAGAGCCGAGTCAAAAGGTGAAGCTCTCAATTTACCAGTCGATCTACGTTCCTACCCTCATCTATGATCATGAGCTTTGGGTTGTGACCGAAAGAACGAGATCTCGGATACAAGTGGCCGAAATGAGTTTTCTCCGCAGGGTGTCTGGGCTCTCCCTTAGAGACGGGGTGAGAAGCTCTATCATCCAGGAGGGACTCAGAGTAGAGCTGCTGCTTCTCCACATTGAGAGGAGCCAGTTGAGGTGGCTCGGGCATCTGGTTAGGATACCTCCTGGACACCTCCCTGGTGAGGTGTTCCGGGCACGTCCCACCGAGAGGAGACCCAGAGGAAGACCCAGGACACGCTGGAGGGACTAGTTTCTTGGCTGGCCTGGGAATGCCTTGGGATTCCCCCCGGAGATACACCGCAATACAGCGAGTCCACGAAAGTCAAACCACGAAGTAGCGAGGGACTACTATCAGCAAAGAAAATAGCACACTTTGTAACACATTGCTGAACTTGAATCAGTTGAAACAGCAATGTTGTCAAAATGTTAACCTTAACTCTTGACTTTCAGGGTATATATTTTTTATAAATCTTGCTTCAATGTCAAGATGACAGGATAAATATTTTATTTTGGGATAACGTCACCTTTCAGCTTCCGCACATTTCTGGGTGTCATTAATGGCAGTAGAGAAAGGAAGTGGTCCGAGAGTAGAGCCAGTGTGAGTTCCTGGAAAACAATGTTCGATAAAGAAAAGTTTTAGTTTTGGTCAACAGACCTTTGAAGTCTAAAGCACTCGCACTGAATACACACACAAACAATGCTATCTTGTGAGGAATTAATGTGTAACTGAGCTGTTTGTTCTCTACAATATCACACACACACTTCCTTTTACCTGTAATGTGTGCGTGTGTCAGTTGGTTCTTGCTTCTTTACTTCTGTAAAACTAGTTTTGGTCCAGCTGCAGTGTTTTTGATTTCTGTTAGAAAAATAAGTTGTTGTTTTTTTTTGTTGTTTTTTTTTGTTTTTTTTCCAAAACGCTGGTCAGTCGGTGTCATGTAAGAAACATTTTATGTAAGTGTGCACACACTTTGTGCATCATGGTTTTCCATTTTTAAATTGTGAGAGTAGTGCTTTTCTCTTCCTGAACCCTTCGTTCACTACCAAACTACAGCTCCCATCATGCTCCACTGTTGCATGTCTTTCTCTTCTTGTGTCCTCATTTTGATTTTTGTCTTTTCTTTTGCAGTCCTGTTACTTTGATCAACTTCTGGCCTGTAGACCATGCGTGAGTACCTGGCTCCCTCCCTTTCTCTCGCTCTCCCTCTCTCTCACACTGTCCTGCTCTCGCTCTCCCTTTCTCTCACACTGTCCTGCTCTCTCTCTCTTTCCTTCTCCCTCTCTCTTGCTCTCTTTCTCGCTCCCCCTTGCTCTCCCTCTGTCTCACTCCCTCTCTTTCTTGCTTTCCCCCTCCTCGCTTCCTCTCCTCCCTCTTTTGCTTTTCCTCACTCTCTCTCCCTCTCGCTCTCTCTCCCTTTCTCACTATCTCTTGCTCTCCCTCTCTCTTGCTCTCTCTCTCGCTCTCCCTCTCTCTACCTTGCCCTCTCTCTCCCTTACTCTCCATTTTTCCCTCTCTCCCTCTCCCTTGCTCTCCCTCTCTCGCTTTCTCTCCCTTGCTCTCCCTCACTCTCTCACTCGCCCTCTCTCTCTTGCTCACTCTCTCTCTACCTCACCCTCTCTCTCCCTCACTCTCCATATTTCCCTCTCCCTCTCTCCCTCTCACTCTCCCTCTCTGTCTTGCTCTCTCTCTCTCACTCTTCCTCTCTCCCACTCTCTCTTGCTCGCTCTCCCTCACTCTCCCTCTTTCCCTCTCCCTTTCTCCCCCTCTCTCCCTCTCCCTCTCTCTCTCACTCACTTTCACTCGTTCTCCCTTTCTCACACACACTTTCTGACACGCTTGATTGATTGATTGATTGATTGATTTTTTAAGCCTTTAGGTTTGCACTGACTAAAGATAAGATTCTGACCAATTAAAATCAGTTTTCTTGTTGATTTTTAAAAAAATTATTATTCTTTTGTTCATGACCTGTTCTTCTAAACCTTAACGTAAGATTCAATAAAGCATAAAAACAAAACCCTGTGTTGTACACTAAGTTACAACAAGCTTGTCAAAAAGGTGCAGTTCCATTTTCTTAAGCTGCCACGACTTAAGACACCAAAGAAAATGGATTTGATGCGCACAAAAAAGACACTATCTAAAGACCCTGTGGCTAAAAGCTTTGCATATTTTTGCATACGGGTAGTAATCTTTTGACAGCTTACAGTTTGATTCATTTTCTATTTACAACGCCTTAGATGTGATTATAAAACAATTATCAGTGCATGTTGGTACTTTATACATTCTGTTGATCCCTGGAAGAACGGGTGCGTGTCTTAGCTCACAAAGTTTCTTACATTGAAAGTCACAAGACTGCTAGGCCAGTGGTGGAAAGATTTTAGCCCAAACTTCCATCAGGTCACGGGGGTCGCCGGTGCCAAAGTCCAGCAATCACTGTGCGAGGGGCGGGGTACACCCTGGACGGGTCGCAAGTCCATCACAGGGACACACAGAGACAAACGAGACAAACCACCATTCACTCTCTCACTCACACCTAGGGACAATTTAGAGTTGCCAATCAGCCTAACATGCATGTTTTTGGTCTGTGGGAGGAAACCGGAGTACCCGGAGAAAACCCATGCATGCACGGAGAGACCATGCAAACTCCACCCAGAAGGGCCCCCGACCAGGATTTGAACCAGGGACCTGCTCACTGAGAGGCAGCAGCTCTACCAGTTGCGCCACTGTGCTGCGCCCAAACTTGATAACCTTGTTTTTTTCCAGATATCATATCCCCTTTTCAGCTAATGTCATAATTGATTGTCAATCACGAGCAAATAATTTGTCAGACCTTAAAGAACCAAAACATTTTGTTCTACATAGCAATACTAAGCAGGTTTCTTTGAGACATCCTTTTATCTTTTTCCCAAAATAACCAGCAACGTATTTATTCAAATGTAGGCTACTACTGCAAATAAAACCAGCCAACTGTGAACTGCTCTCCCACTAAAATAGAAAATTGATCAGCTTTTGTTGGAGCTAAAGTTCTAATATATGCCACTGCTACCTATTAAATGGGAATTAAACAACTTGATTCTGGGTACTTTTTTTTTAAACGTTTGTCAAATGACAGAATTTTCATGGTATAGTCTTCGTCCATTCGTAAACGTTGTTTTGTCCAGGCCAAAACTTCTGATTCACTCAAGATAATTGAATGAAACTTCATACACATACAGTATGCATCATCAATGGACAGCATTTTCATTGCCCCAAATCGAAGGTCAAGGTTATGCAAGGTCTTTGCATGTCCGAACCATACCTTCTGATCTGCTCAAGATAATTTAACAAAACTTCATTCAAATGTGTACCACTGTTGCACAGTTTTTGTATAATCTTCATCACCTCAGCTTAAAGGACAAGGTCACAAATAAATTCAAACGTCAAACAAGGTCTTTGCTCGTCAGGACCATTGGTAGAGATTGTTGTATTGCTATGTATTAGTTTTTGGACAGACATATAATGTGGTATGAGCAATGCAAATTGCCATTATGCCATCACACTAGCCAAGACAAGTTCAGTGTTTTTAAGGGAAAATGCAATTCCTTCATTGGAACAAAGAACGAAGACTTTAACTAATGATAACTATTGGTCAGTTTTAGTTTTTGGCATTTTTAAAATAAATTCAGAACCGTTCTTGTCCACATCATGATTCACAGAAAAAATGAAAGATGGACTCACGAGCTCTTCTTGTTTTTTTTTTTTTTTTTTGTTGTTTGTTTGTTTCTTCCCCCTCAGGCCCGGATCATCTCCTCAGCTCTCACATGACGACACACACTCTCGGATCGAGCACTATGCTAACCGGTAACGTTCCATCTGTGTTCAGTAACCCCTCGCTGGTCACTCCTTGTTGGGAGCAGGATGTGGTAGAGCAGTCTCCCCCGTGTGCCGCTCAGTCTTCCAGTCCCTGCTGTCCTCGGTCCCACAGGCGTCGCAGATGACGGCTTTAGAGAGCTCTCCAAGGCCCACACCAGAAATCGCATCAGTCGATGCAGTTTAGACGAAGGAATTCAAAGAAAATAAACTGCTCCCACCCCCGCAGTGCTCTCGAAGCTGCGCAGTTATAACTCACAGGGGATTAGTTGTCCTAATTTCCCGTGGTGGTTTGGGGGAAGATTCTTTTATTTCGGTGAATACAGTCGTTTGTCAAAGGCAGCCATGTGTGTTACAGCCCAACTTTGTACAACTACTGATCACTTTTAAATGACTTCAAATGAGGCGTGGCTCCTTTGAAAACAAATAGGGTCTTAAAACAGAAGTCAACAATTTGCACACGTCACATCTTGTCTTGTGAATTAGCAGATGCATGTTTTAATTGTTTTAAGGTGTTAAAAGCTTGCCAGTACAGTAGTCCCTCGATTATCGCAGGGGTTACGTTCCAGACACCACCGCGATTGGTGAAAAACCGCCAAGTAGGAACGCCATATTTATTTGTGTTTATATATATTTTAAGGCATTATAAACCCTTCCCACACTCTTGAAATGTTCTTGACAATGTTCTAAACTCAAACGATTAAAAATAGATAAATAAATTATATGGGTACTTGCCAGTGACAAAACTGTTACAACTTGAAGGATGAAGATGTGAAGAATTGTGCTGATGACAATGAAAGTCATGAAGGTGCTGCTCTTCATTACCATCACCATTGCGATCGTCCCTTTTTGCTGCCAGGCAATCATAAAGTTGTTTGGCCTTTGTCCGGATGGTGTTTGTATCCAGCGTGATATTCTTTTTACGGCAATCATTAATCCTCACTAGGAGTGCACCAATTAATCGACTGGCCCCGATTTCCTTAATTTTGGGAGATCGCGATCGGCCGATACTTACATGAGAATCCAATTTTACCAATTTCTTTTTTTTTTTTTTTTTGTAGTTTTAACAATTGTCTAACCTTCCTTTATATTTCAGAGCACTACCTCATGGCCAATTAAAACAAGTTCGTATTGTTTTTAGGATATTGTTCAATGGCATGTTTTTCAATAAAATAAAATTGATGGTGCATTGTGACCTTATAACACCTGACAGTGTCGCTTATAAAACAAAATCGGTATCGGCCACAATCGGAACTTCAGGTCAGGCTTTTTAGAGATCGTGATCGGCCAGAAAACTGCAATCGGTGCACCCCTGATCCACACGACTAATGCAGATTCCATCTTCACAATCGTCTTATTGTGGGAAGTATCCACCCCCTTTGTGGTGGTGTGGCAAGTCACCGTTGCCGTAGACCTGATAATCTTTCTTGATATAGCAAACTGTAGATTCTTTGATCCCGTTATGGCGACCAACGTCCACGTAGGTTCTCCTAGGCCTGTCGCAATAAACAATATATCAATTAATCGCTTGATAAATGAAAATGATCGACCTTGTTTTCATGTATCGGCGTTATCGTTTCTTCGTGTCTCTCTCTTTCTACTGAAGACACTGGATGACAAAAGGTTAAACTCCGGTGCTCTTCACTGACCCCTCCCTTTCTCTTTTCTCTTTAAAATCTGTTTTAACGATCCAAAATCGCGTTTTTGGATCCTTGAAAGCAGCTAAGCTGAGAAGCTAAGCTACGAGCTAAGGTAACAGGTCGACCTCGGGGAGAAAACCTCCGTCTTGTCAAAGCGCCAAAATTCACGGTTGAAACCCGTGCCTTAGTATAAAAAGTTGTTTTTCTCTGCAAAAAGAAGCTGAGAACTTTTTACTGATTTTTGAAAAATTATTAAAAGCTTTGTGTGAAAATGCTATGTTAAAGAGCTCAAACCACACCGAGCGTCCGCCATTTTGAGCACCGAAAAATAGGAACGATGGACAGCCCATGTCACGTCAAGGGGCCTCCCTCCCATTTTCTTAAAGAGACACTATTCGCTCCATCACTATCCATCCTTTGGTTCAGACAGTCTTATACTGCCATCCGGTTGTCAAAAAAAGGTACTACACACAAAAGTTAACCAACATTTCTTCTTCAATTTTACAATAATTACTAATTATTGTCAAATTTCAAACAATATTATCGTTTATCGTAATAATTTCTGAGACAATTGATCGCCCAGCAAAATTTGTTATCGTGACAGGCCTATATTCTCCCTTCCTTCAACATGTCGAGAAGCTCCACCTTCTCTTTTATGGTAAGCATCTTTCTCTTGTGCTTGGGTTCGCTGCCTGTAACATTAGAGCTCACAGAACGTTTGGGTGGCACCGTAGGGCTTGAAATAAATTTCACAAAAGAGCATAGCAAAAGAGAGCAGACAGACTGTTATGGTTATTGAGCCATTCAGTGCCCGGGATACAGAGCACAATGCTCTGGTTGGTCGCCTTCCGTCAATCAGCCAATCGTGTGTCGTGTACAAAGTTACGTTGAAAAACCGCAAAAGAGCGATTCCGCAAATGTCGAACCGCGAAGTGTCGAGGGACTACTGTAGTTCATTTACAATGCTTCACTTAGATAAACTATTTAAAGATACAAAACAGTGGTTGTGCAAACATTTATCAAATTCTGGAAATTCCAGTTGTGCACACAAGCACAAAATACAATTTTGTCATTTTAGTATATTTGTTTAGAATGTGTGAGACAATTTTTGATTTGATTTTGCAACTATGTAAATTTAACCCTCTAAACACGGCTGTTAATCGTTGGTGTTTTCTGTTTGGAGTTGGGGTTTCCCTCTCATCTGTTACTGTGGGGGAAATAAATGTTTGAGTCCCTGCTGATTTTGTATGTCTGCCCACTTACAAAGAAAACGAAGAGTCTAATTTTTATTGGAGTTCAGTTTTAATTGAGAGAGGTGGTATATCAACTAAAAATCCTGAAAACAGCATTTAAGGAAAGTTCAAAATTAGTTGTCTTGACACTTAAGTGAAATAAGTATTTGATGTTCAAGAAAATCATGATTTAATACGTAGTGGAAAATTGTTTGTTAGCAGCACAGTGGTAGGATGTTTATTGTAGATGGCCAAGTGGTTTGTGCACTTCAGGAGGGATTTTGACCCACTACTTTTTACAGAAACTCTTAAATCCTTCAGGTTTCATGACATCTGTTGGGCAACTTGAAGCTTCAGCCCCTTCACAGTTTTTTTTTTTTTCAAAAGACGCAAGTCTGAGGACGGATGAGTCTACTCACAGCATTAAAGCAATTCTTCTTTAGCCATTCCTTCATAGCCTTGGTGATGTGTTTTTAGTCATTGTCATGTTGGATGAGCCAACCATGACCCATCCTTAATGTTCTGGCTGAAGGACAAGGGTCCTTGCCTATAGCTTCATTCACAAGATGCCTCAATTTGGGACTGACAAGTGTTCTGCCCACCTTGGTTCATTCAGAAGACACATGACGGTAGCAAGGTGGGTCCGAGACACCCTACCTCTATCTCCAAGGGAGGTAGTAACAAGCCCAGAACTCTTGACTTCTGAAAAGGTGGGCTGGCTTAGTGGCTCAAACTTATTTGACTAATGTGACAAAGTTATGACATATGCTTTTGGTGACCACCCAACCGCAGAATTTAAATGTCAAAATATCCGCTGGACACATTTAAGTGTCTTGGACAATGCAAGGACAATCGTTAGTTCATTTGCCATGTTTTCAGAATTGTCATGAGAAAGATGTTTATCCCACATGTAGATCAACATGTAAGAGCAGCTGGGGTAATTTTCCACTCGTCTTTTGATACTAAAAGTACTCAAAAGCTCAATTGTGGGCAGGACGAGGCCAACATCATCAGTTACTTATGAATGGTCACAGGGCAGCGCTATTCAACTGGCGACCCGCGGGTGACTTAAGTCACCCGTGGATTGCCATGATAAATGAAAATTCATTCAACCTGTGTTTAGACAGGTAAATCCCATTGAGCCTCGAGGACTCATTTACAAGAGAGACCTGAAATTATCAACCTCAATTTCATTTATCGACTTTATCGTGTCTTTGTGTCTCTCTCTTTCTACTGATGACACGGCTCAACTCAGGTGTTCTTCGCTGACCCCTCCCTTTCTCTTTTCTCTTTAAAATCCGTTTTAACCATCCAAAATCGTGTTTTTGGATCGTTAAAAGCAGCTAAGCTGAAAAGCTAAACTACGAGCTAAGCTAACAGGCCGACCTTCAGGAAAAAAATTCCCGTCTTGTCGAAGCTCCAAAATTCACGGTTGAAACCCGTGCCTTCATGTAAAAAGTTGTTTTTCTCTGCAAAAAGAAGCTGAGAACTTGTTTACCAATTTTTTTATTAAAAAGCTTTGTGTAACAAATGCTATGCTAAAGAGCTCAAATCACACCAAGCGTCCACCATGTCAGCCCATGTCATGTCAAGGGGCCTCCCTCCCATTTTTCTTACATATATACTGCTTACCTATCCATCCTTCAGTTCAGTCTTCTACTGCCATCCAGTGGTAAAAAAAGGTACTACATGCCAAATAAATAATTTCTTCTAAAATTTGACAATTATTAATTATTGTAAAATTTCAAACGATATCATTCATCACAATAATTTCTGAGACAATCGTCCAGCAAAATCTGTTATCGTGACGGGCATAGTTTATGGGAAATAAAATAAAGTTAAACAGAGACGAGTATCTTTGCTTTAATTTGAGGCCTACAAATATCCATGTTTTGGTGTTAATATTTAATTGTACGGGGAGTTCTGATAAACTGACCACATCTCTTTGTCCCAAACCGTTTTTGTATTCTTTAGATGTTCACTGGCAAACTCTTCGTCTGGCAAACAGACAGACCTCTTTATGGACCTTTTTTTTTTTAGCAGGAGTCCATTACAGTACACTGTTACCATTGATAATTGGTGATTATGGTCTGTTGCCTTCAGATCATCAATAAGCTCCTCCATGTAGTTTTGGGATGATTCTTCATCTTTCCCATGGCTATCTTAACGCAATTTCTTTTCAATTACTTACAAAAAGCTCCAGACTGAGGACGATTCATGGTTATTAAATATTTTGTTCATATCTGAATAGTCCCTCCAGTAATTACCACATTCCATGTAAACTTCTTGCTGATGGTCTTGTGGTTCGTTCCAGCCTTGTGCAGATCTACTTTTTGGTCTCCAATGTACTTTGACATCTTTTTTGATATTACCCATTTTAGTGGACAAGCTGGAATGGGAATAAAGTTATTCTTTAGTCAGTTGAGCTTTTTGATGGATGGATGGATTAATTCCCTGGTACAGGAAATGTATGAAGACAGCAGGACAGTGGTGAGCTGTGCTGTAGGTACAGTGGCCGTGAGGTGTAAATGAACAACATTTGAAAAAACAGAATTGCATTTCAAAAAACGCAACAAAAACAAGAAAAACACAACAACAACAGAAAACACGGAATTACATTAAGCCAGAGTGTTTTTTCAAATGTAATTCTGTTTTTTCAAATGTGATTCTGGACACTTCTACTTTGGCCACTTCTGCTTTGGCCACTTCCGCTTTGGCTTAATGTAATTCTGTTTTTTCATATATGATTCTGGCCACTTCCACTTTGGCCACTTCTCCTATTGCCACTTCCGCTTTGGCTTATTGTAATCAGTTTTTTCAAATGTGATTCCAGCCACTTCTGCTTTGGCCACTTCCAGTTTGGCCACTTCCGCTTTGGCCACTTCCGCTTTGGCCACTTCCACTTTGGCTTAATGTAATTCTGTTTTTTCAAATGTAATTCTGTTTTTGAAATGTCGTTCATTTACATCTCATGGCCATCATATGTAGGAGTGACGGATAGCTTCAAGGTAGAGGTGGGATTGCACCAAGGAGCCTGAACTCTGAGCACCTTCTTGTTTACGCTTGTGATGGACCGACTAACAGATGAGGTCAGGCAGGAATCCCCGTGGACTATGATGCTTGCAGATGACATTGTGATCTGTGGGGAGAACAGGGAACAGGTGGAAGAGAACTTGGAGAGATGGAGGTATGCACTTAAAAGAAGAGGAATAAAAGTCAGCCATAGCATGAAATTCTGGGAACCCTGAGGGACAAAGCTACTTTTTTTTTTGTAGTGGGGAAAATCAAAATTCACAGGAAGTAAAAGAATCATTTCCCCCATGGTAACTGCACCTCCGTTTGGTTTTGGGACTGATTGCTGTGTTTCTTCCCCCTTCGCAGGTTAGCTGAAATGGAGAATCGTAATGGCTCTTATCTGAATGACAATATCTCACCCAATGAGAGCATGTGAGAACAGCTACTTGTTTTTGTTTGTCCTCCTAACACACTGATTGGCTCTCTATGTGTGAGCTGCGTATGCCGTCTTTGTTTTCCACTGGCTGGTTGTGTTGTGTGTCTGTCAGTGAATGTGTATTCTGGATTCAAGCTCTAGTGCATATTTTTCCTCTGGTTCTTTTAGTCAAGATTAATTCACTTTGCTGGTAAATCAGATAATGAAAAGCAACAAATTCATGTAGAAATGCATACTTATGTTCATCGCAGCAACCGTGCGTTTACTTTCCTTGATTTCCTTCCTAAAACCTATTAGACACAACAGTAAAATGTGGTTACTGTATGTCAACACAAATCTTTTGCAAGGTGCAGAGAGAGAAACAGACACTCATTACATTGGTCACAGTGGTATAAAAATTATTTTTTTCAATTTGCTTTTTAATAGGCATCAAGAAACACCTGATACCTACAGCTGAAGCCAGATGCACTGTATAAAAAGACATGGGCGTTTTATTATACCGTCTGACAATGAATCGAACTCAAGCTCTTCGGTCTTAGGTCAGTTAGGATTCCTGACATCATTCCTATCTGCTGAATGTCTAGGGCACCTCCGTCTTGTCAAAGCTCCAAAATTCCCAGTTGAAACCCGTGCCTTGCCTTCATGTAAAAAGAAGTTGAGAACTTGTTTACTGATTTTTTTTATTAAAAGCTTTGTGTGAAAAATGCTATGCTAAAGAGCTCAAACCACACCGAGCGTCTTCCGTTTTGAGAACGGAAAAATAGGAACGAGAGACAGCCCATGTTACGTCAAGGAGCCTCCCTCCCATTTTTCTAAAAGAGACACGCTGCTCGCTCCCTCACTATCCTTCCTTCGATTCAAACAGTCTTATACTGCCATCCAGTGGTCAAAAAAGGTACAAAAATTAACCAACATTTCTTTTTCAACTAAGTCCATGCTCAGGTATACAGGTATTCAGGTATACAATCCAAAATTTTTCAGTCAGGTCATCTGGACAGTTTCTTTTTTTTTGTGCTGAAACGTTTCGCCTTCGATCCAGAAGGCTTCATCAGTCAAGGAAACACACCACAAAACTAATTCTTCCCCCAACAGCTTAATCCAAAGTGGAACAAACCAGTTTTGTTTGTGATTTTTTTTAAAAGAAAAGAAACTGTCCAGATGACCTGACTGAAAAATTTTGGATTTCTTTTTCAATTTGACAATACTAATTATTGTAAAATTTCAAACAATATTATTGTTTATCGCAATAATTTCTGAGGCAATCGCCCAGCAATATTTGTTATCATGACAGGCCTACCCCCATAAGTCACGGTTGGGATTGTGCAAGTGTTTGAAGGTTAACAATTATACACATTTGGACAAAAAACAGACATCTGGACATCGTGCCAAATGATGAACCAGAGTTCTGGAGGTCAACAAATCTCTTCCTGATGTCTTGGCTGATTCATTTAGATTTTCCCATGATGCCACACAAAGAAGCCGAGTGAGGTGTGCTTTAAAATACATTCACAGGTGTGCCTCCAATTAATTAAGTCAAATGTTGTCAATTAATCAAAAGCTTTGCGCCCAAAATTTTCTCTCTACATTTAGACATTCAGCAAATAATTTTGGGAATCCTAAATGACCTGAAACCAGAAAGATTTGCATAATTTAATGTCAAATAATGACATCATTTTATGCATTGTATGTAGATTTTAGTTATTCAAGATCAAGTTTGTGTACAGAGTAGGAGCCAGTTCATTGCTGTCGAGATTTCTAAAGCTTGGCATCAGACATCTGACATTTGAAATGATTTTTAGACCATATTTATATACCAGCATGTATTCATTATGTTGACTACAGTCTACTAGATTGTTTAAAATGGGGGAAGGGGGGAGTGATTACTGAAATTTGCTAACTGACAAGAGTTGCCTTCAGATTTTTCATGGCAAAGTTTTTAACAAAGGCCTTGCACAAACAGATAGCACTCTGAATTTGTGTTATACGTTAGTTTTAGCTACTATCACACCAAATTTTAGCTTAATATCTGTACAATTGTCCAAATTGTATCCCTTTTTGTGGTTTCTAAGGTTAGTTGGCTCTGGCATTTATCTTAAATTGCTCCTTAAGTTATCAGTTGTAGCTAGTACCATCCAGTGGTTCATAATATATTTTACTGACAGTCACATGTAAGAACTTAGTCTTTTTGTCCTTCTGTTGCGAGCAGTAAAAAGCAATGAGGTTAGTCCAGATTGGGGACCAGCCGCCTATTATTATCCACCTGAAAAGGGTCTTGCTCTTGCGTCAACTTTAATGTGGCCTGAACCGCGATGTTTACCCACAAATGTTATATGTTAACGGCCGGCTCAGTACTGTGATGTGTGCTTTTACTTTTATTGGCGTTTCGAGTTACCAAGACAACGTAATTTACAAACAAATAGGCCATTTTTCTCATTGAAAAACACTGATAGAACTCAACAGCTTGGAACTGCCACTGTGAGGTCACTTGACCTAGAGTGGGGAGGTCTCTGAGCAAAACACTTGGGGTGCATTCACACCAGGCCTGTTTAGTTCGCTTTAATTGAACTCTAGTCCGTTGGCCTAGAAAGTCCGGTTCGTTTGGAGAGGTGTGAATGTGCAATCGAACTCTGATGCGGACCAAAACAAGCGAACTCTGTTCCGCCTAAAAACCTTGGTCTCGGTTCGGTTGAAGTGAACTGTAGCGCGGTTTGAATGCAATGTGAATGCAAGCGGACTGGAGACCGTTCCAAAAGCAGGAAGTGGACTACAGTGCGGGGCAAACAAATGCGCATTTCTTTTTCGTCAGCCGCCTTGTGTGAAAAACAACATTGTCCATGGTCTTCTGCCTCATCTGTTTGTTTGGCACATGAGCCACAGACAAAACAAATCCTAAAACCGTTCAAATTTGACGCCATTCCGTTTTTGTTTTTATTTCCAGAAGAAGAAGAAGAAGTGTCTTCTTCAGATGTTTTTGCGTCGTTTCCTTCAGTAGTTCTTGGTGCAGCGCCACCGCAGGCGAGGGGGGGAAACAGGTTGGCTCGCTTGACAGTGCAGTGTGAATGCGAACCACACCAGCTGAAAATGTAAACAAATGTTCTGAATATTGGTCCCCAATCGAACCAAGTCTACCGGACTATCAGGTGTGAAAGCACCCTTAACTTTGGAGCTATTTTGACTCAAGATGGCTGCCACAGCTAACTCAGAAAACTCCAAATTGACTATAACTCAGTCATTCTTTGAGATGTTGAGCTGAAATTTGGTGTGGTCATAGCTGAGAACGAGTTGTTATACATTCCTGATGCAAATAAAAATATCCAAGATGGCCACCTTGTCTAAAAGGGATAACGTAAGATAACTCGGCTATCTTAAAAGATATTGAGCTGAAATTTGGTGTGGTTGGTACCTGACAGCGGCGCACAACACATTCTGAATTCAAATTAAAAAATTCAAGATGGCTGCCAAAGCTAATTTCAAATAAATTTAACTCAGTGGTTTTTAGAGCTATTAAGCTGGAATTTGGTGTACTGGTTGCTGAGAAAAATCTATCATAGACTGATTGAAAATCAAAAATCCAAGCTGGCCACCATAGTTTAAAATAAAAAATGTCTATAACTCTTTATTTTTTTGGCGCAGTGAGCAGAAATTTGGTATGGTAGTAACTGAGAACAAACTCCAACACACAGTACTCTCATATCAACATTTTAAAATGGACACAATGTGACAGTCCCAGTCAAAGTTTCTACAGGAGCTTTATAGTCCAGCATCCATCCAGACTCCAGACCACGGGACCAATGAGTTTGTCTGATCCTCTCTTTTTTCCCACTGAGCTTCAGATTCTCCATCTTTGTGTCCCGTTCTGCTACTCTTTCATTCACTTTATGGTTTCTTTTTCTCCATTTCCCTCTGTGTGTATGTGTGTGTGTGTGTGTGTGTATGTGTGTGTACATGCATGCACACTGCCCGCCTGTCTCTGTCACTTTATGAATGTGTGTGTGCCCATCATCGGTGGGTGTGTTTGATGCGTGTATGTGTATCTGCAGCGATGACGAGCACATGTTGATCCAGCACTACTGCCAGTCTCTGAACCAAGGCTCTCCTCTCAGTCAGCCCCGCAGCCCCGCCCAAATCCTCATCTCCATGGAAACGGAGGAAAAGGGAGAGCTGGAGAGGGTCCTTGGTGACCTGGAGCAGGAGAACAGGTCAGTGACTGGACCACACTTTACAGACTTGGGTTTTGGAAAATGTGAGAGGTTTTCAAAAATCAACACAAAAAGTAAGAAAATTTGTTTGGTTGATATTTTTATTGCAACAATACTTAATGGAATTAAATCTTTTAGTATTTGTTAGCATTTTTTTCCCACTTAAATGGTTCCACATTTGTTTGGAAAATGTATTTGTGGATTGAAGCCATAACATATGTAGTATGACATATCCTGAGATATATTCATACTGTTAAAACGGGTTCTTTCATTTTTCTGGACTGTATAACATGCGTGCATTGAATTTAATAAAATGTGGACGTGAGACGTTAATTATCTTTGACTCACCAAGCGAGTGGGTCATTTATTAACAGAATCAAGTTTAACACATCACACATTTACATTAATTGGCAAGAATTGAAAAATAACAACATAATTAATCAGCTTTACAACCAGGAAAACCATACGGCCATGATTTTCCGTTGCTTCACCCCAGACATTTCTGAAAACATCTGGATTAATTTGCTAGCAGATAGGAGAGTTTAAAGATGGAAAGATGAGGTTTATCTACAGAGAGATGTGTGAGGGAATTTGTCTGTTTTAACCAGAACAGCACGCTCCATTGAAATCAGCTTGGGCCAACGGTACGCTTGGTCGAGATAGAACTTTTACCTTGCAGACGATAGCTTCAGCGTCGGTGTAGAGCTCTCCTTTCAACTCTTTCAGCGTCTCCGTGAGAACAGCTAAAAACCCCTGGAGTCGTGAGGTTATCCAAACAGAAGTTATAATCCCCAAATCGTCTCTGGTTCAGCTATTCTAATTCAGCAGCATCCTGAATTCCAGCGTTCTGCATTCTGGAACTCCAAAACTCTCTGCTTGAACTAGGAAGTGCCAACATTTAAATGGGCTCTACTTCCGGTTCATTTGAGAGCTTCTGATTGGTCGATGGACCAAAGCAGAGGTGTGGTTTGTGATGTAAGGTGTTATGAAAAGTCAAGGGAAAAGATTAAGATTGTTTAAGAACAGACAGAAAGATTGTTATGGAGAATTCAGACTTCGAGGAGCCACCTCTCCTAGTATCTTGCTGTAAAAGTTAAACATGACATTTCTTTTCAGTAAACTTTCAGTTGACCGAAACTTGAACTTCGACACACTTACAACTTTGCTCATTGAAGACAGAAAATCAAGAAATGCATATTAACCTGATTTCTTCTTTGAATGAGGATTAAAAATCATTATTACTGTTTTAAGTAAATAAAAATAAGTAGTTCACTTCAACATGTAAACATTGTTTGAACTAACACAATTTGATTATCAAAACATTTGTAAAATAGTAATGATCATAGAGAATTGTCTTTTTCCACTTGATTAATTCAAGAAAGAAAGTCTCAGGATGGGTCAACCTGTATTTCGGGATGCAAATCAATGAAATGACAGTTTCTGACCATATGATCCTAAGGTCAAGTTTTGACATCAGGTCAAGTTCACTACACATATCTTGCTAAATCTCTGGAAAACTGCTTATTCTGCTGCTAACTCTTGTTTGGCCTTATTAATAGTTTGGACGATTGAAATCTGAAAAAAAAAGGGTAGATTAGCAATTTATTTACTTAACAAATAGGGTTTCGGTAGCATGCGGAAGAACCATACACAGCCACAACAGATTGGCACCACCTTCTCCTGGAGCAAGCGTTGTCATCTTGGAGGGTAGAGTTCCGTCTCATATCATGGAGGCGTGGGACTGACTCTGGTCGCTTACACGCACTAACCATGCACATGTCAAACTCTGTGGGCCAAGTCTGGTCCCTCAAGATGATAATCTAAATGTAAAAAACTGCATCTCTTCTAAATTTTTCTTTAAAATAAAAACCGATAAATACTTAATTTAGTATAGACTTCTTTATTCAGCTGGCTAACTGTGAAGCCAGAAAGACGGCTGGATCATTCTGTCATTATTGATTCTGATGTGAAATGAGTAATAGTCAAGTAAGACAGATCAAACTTTTGTTCATGAACCTGCAACCAAGAAAAGAAATCAGGTATCTGACTCGAGTTAATGTATCAGCTGAAAGTGGCTCGTTGTTCGGACAAAATTTTTAAATTTTGGCTCATTTCGGTAAAGTTTGACACCCCTAGTTTATCAATATAAGCTGTATGGTAGTGAGATTGGCAGGTTTTCACTGACACAACCCACCTCCTCAACTCTGCTGCTCAACCCACAAATATATTTTCTTAACAAATGTAGCGCCATTAAGGGGAAATAATCAGGCTGTCCAAACATATAAGATTTATTGCAAAAAGCATTGCTACAATAAAGAAATACAATACTTTTCGCCGTACACGTCGCACCGCCATATAAGTCGCATCAGTCCAAATATGGCTAATAAAGTGGAAAAAAACATAAATAAGTCTCTTTGCCGTATAAGTCGCATCTATTATGCGTCACCGCTGACCACCCGGAAACGTGGGCTGGTGTTGTACCAAAAATCGATAGGCTGCCAAATGGTGGCTGCGGGAGCGTGCATGGGAGAACTTTTAACAAGATTAACACTTAAAATAATTACTTGTTTGCTCGAAATTATAGTAAAGGTGTGTCTCAGTTGAACTTTTCCCTAATAAATGCACTTTTAACGGTCAAATCAGCTGCATTTCGCCTGGGTGGCATAGCGAAATGCAGCTGATTTGACGTTTGCTCTAGGAGTTCCAGAGCAAGACGAAGGTGGCTTGGTATGGCAAGCCAAGTGTTTAATTTATAGCCACTTTTACCTATTAATGAGACACTTGGCTATAACACTTGCCATATTGCTCAAGGGCCCTCTAGTGGCTGAAAATGGTAGTGTTCAATAGTTTCCATGTCAGAATGAATTAAATCGTCAGATCTCGGCCAAAAATTGAGTTAGAAATATGGGGAAAAAACATTTATTAGTCACTTCGGTGTATAAATTGCAGGACTAGCAAATTTATGCAAAAAGGTGCGACTTATACAGCGAAAAATACGATAATAAACCAAATATAAATTCCTTTATGTTTTGTATAGTAGATTAAACCATAAATGAAAGACTGCCTGACTCGGTGGGAATAAAATGAACCGAGGATGGCACAGTTTGGATGAAGTTGTGCAACAGCATAACGTGTACAGTTAAGAACACAGTTTTGTAAGCAATACACACAAAAATGACCCGATTGTCAAAATTGGCTGTGCAAAATAGGTTCACGCACAGACACAGAGAATGTAGTGAGGCCCCAACAGACAGTTTCCTGGTCAGTAACATTTGCAGTTCTGTGAAGCACAAGATTAAGCATTGAAGCAGCTTTATTGCTTTTTGCCTGTTTTTCTTCCATTCGCTTAACAATTTTCTATTCAACAAAGTTCATGCTCAATCATCCAGGTATCAAATCCAGTATTTCTCAGTCAGGTCATCTGGACAGTTTTTTTTTATTTAATAGAGACGTTTCGCCCTCTGTCCAGAGGGCTTCATCAGTCTGAGGAGTTCCAGTAAACTGTTTCTCCACCAAGCAGTAAACTCCTTAAGTGGACCAACCAGTTTGCTGGAGCTAAGATGGTTTCTGGGGGCCGTCCTGTCCCTCGTCGACTCCTCCCAGGCAGGCAGCCACAGCCAAAGTGGTTCAAGCCGACAAAGTTCATGCTCAATCATCCAGGTACCAAATCCAATATTTCTCAGTCAGGTCATCTGGACAGGCTGCCTGCCTGGGAGGAGTCGACGAGGGACAGGACAGCCCCCAAAAACCATCTTAGCTCCAGCAAACTGGTTGGTTCACTTTAGAAGTTTACTGCTTGGTGGGGAAACAGTTGACTGGAACTCCTCAGACTGATGAAGCCCTCCGGATAGAGGGTGAAACGTCTCTATAATAAAAGAAACTGTCCAGATGACCTGACTGAGAAATATTGGACTTTCAATTCACTTATAAAATAGATCAAAACCTGATACGTAGGCTTTAAACCATTCAGTGCCTTCTCGACTAATAATAAAGATTTTTAAAATGTCTCCTTTTACAAACAGGAAGCCAGTGCAGTGATTTTAGCGCTGGTGTGATTCGTACAGTTTTTATACCAGAGCAGTTTTTAAGTTTTACGTATTTTGGAGATCTTACTAAAGAATATTCAACTTGAAGTGTAACTTTTTCCCGGTCTAACTTTTGAGCTAAGCTTTCCAAATAAATTACAAACCCTTCCTACACACACATTCTTTACACTTGCACAGTTTTACATTTTGTCTGGTTAGTGATTTACTACTGGGATTTATGGCGTAACGTATGTGGATCCTGGACTTTCAGGCAGTAGCTGCAGTGGCACCCTTCAGTACGTTTTTAGATCGTTTAGGTTATTCTTTCCTTTTGTTTCTCTCTGCAGAAAGTTACAAGCCGAGTACGATCGTCTGAAAAAGGCCCATGACAGGAAGGGTCTGTCCCCATTGCCTTCGCCCCCTGAAATGCTCCCAGTGTCGCCGCAGAGCGCACGAGACGCTGAGCTCATTGCAGAGGCCAAACTACTGCGGCAACATAAAGGGCGTTTGGAGGCCCGCATGCAGATCCTGGAAGACCACAACAAACAGCTGGAGTCCCAACTGCACAGACTGAGGCAGCTGCTAGAACAGGTAGGCCCTGACAGCACTGCAGTCGCACATGGACCAAACTTACATCCAGCTAGAAACTTGTTTTGTTGTACTCATCTCAGCAGTGGAGAACCCTCTGGGCCTTCTGCACCTTCAGTGAAGGCCCATAAATTCTACACATATTAAATGTTACTATTACATTTTTTTTTTTTTTTGCATTTAATATCTCTAATAGTGTTTCCTCTAGGCCAGTTACCTTGGCAGGGCGCTTATGTCTGCAGATTTTTGTGGGGGGTGGGGGCGATTTCAATAGACAGGGCACTCAGTTCTGTTGGGAGAGCGGGCACCACCCTTGGATAACGGTAGGGGAAACGGTTTTTCTTATGTTTTTGCTAATTTCTCTTATTTTCTGTAAAACCTTTTGGCAATTGAGCAAGAAACATTTTAATTCGTGAAAATAAACTTGTCCGATCACGTTCTTTAAAATTTGCGTCTCCACGCAGAAGTTTGAGGGTTCTTTGTCATTGTCATTAGGACGTCACTGTCTGGAAAAAGGCTGAGCTCATTTATAAACTCTCCTAAATGAGTTTGTTTAATAACGGACAGGAACACTAACCAATCACAATTTTGATGTAAAATGGGTGGGACCAAAACACGGAGACTTTGGGAATCCCCATCAAGGTGTTTTTAATCACATGTGACACATTCAAGTCCAACTGGTAAATTCATAAATCACTACTGAAATTGTAGTTGATCTAAAAATGAAGGTTAAATATCCCATTATAGTTTACATAGATAATTTTCAATATTACAGTTGTATTTTGGTTTCATTACATGAAAAACTTTTACAGGAACTGTAATTTTTATAGGTTATTGTTAAAAATATGGAAAAATAAAACTGGTTAAAATCTGTGTTAATTCCAATGGTGTACTGTAGCAGATTAAACCATTAATGTGCGAGCAGCTGCCAATGTTATTACCGTATTTTTCGGCCTATAAGTCACTTTTTTTTTGTGTGCATAATTTACATGCCCTGCGACTTATTTATGGATTTTCCCCCCATATTTATAAACCAATTTTTGGCTGAGATAAGACCGTTTTCATTCATTCTGACTGAAAAAAAGGAACATTACCATTTTTCAGTCGCTAGATGGCGCCAGAGTAGTAAGGCATGCTGTTGTATCATGTAATAGGTAAACGTGGCTACAATGACAAATTCAAAAAAGTTCAAGACAAAAACAAATGGACTTCATTTATTATATTTTATACTTTATTGTTTTTGTCATGAACTTTTTTTAATTTTCCATGTCCTGGATGACTGAGAATCTTCACCAGCTATTAATGAGACAATTGTCTTGCCTTAGCATGCCACCTTTGTTCTGCTCGCTGCTTGGAGCAACTGTCAAATCAGCTTCATTTCGCTGCGCCGCCCAGGTGAAATGCAGCTAATTTGCCCATTAAAGTCCTTTTATTAAGCAAATGTTAGACTGAGACACACCTTTACTATAAAGTCGAGTAAACAAATAATTGTTTTTAGGTGGTTATCTTGTTAAGTTTCGAATAAATGCACAGCGGTTGGTCCCTCTGTGCATGCCCACTTCCGTGAATCGGGTTTTGAAATACAGCTGATTTGACCCTCAAATTGCATTTATTAACTTCCTGGCATCCACATATCAGGTCTTAGGAGGTTAAGCAGAAGTTAACCTGAGACAAACCCTTACTAGAATTTTGAGCAAACGAATAATTGTTTTTAAGATTCTTGTTAAAGTCCTCCCGTTCACGCCCCAGCGGCTGCAATTTGGCAACCAATCAATTTTTGGCACACCGGCCCACATTTCTGGGTTGTCAATGGTGACTCATAATAAACACAACGTATACGGCGAAGCGACATGCTGTATTTATAGATTTTTCCACTTTACTAGACATATATGGACTGATGCCACTTATAGGGCGGAGCGACATTTATGGCGGAAAACATGGTAGGAATATAGGTTTACAATACTCGCACTTAAGACTCTGAAACCTCGGCCTGTTCAGATGTGTACAAATATATCCTGGCAAGCACAAAAGTCTCCTACAAAGGCTCTTATTTTCTTAAGTTTTAGTTTTTGTATCATTAATGCTTGAAAAGCTCAGCTCATGTAGATGTTTTAAGAAATTATGAAGCAATGCCATAATAGCTGTTAGCCAAAATGGGAAACCCAAAAACTGTCCAAAGGTAGATCAGAGAATCTTCAGAATTTTATTATTTTTTTAATTACTTCTTGTTCTAGGCTCTTAATGTGGAGTATAATTTTGCCCATGCATGCTCAGTTGCCTATTTCTTTTCCCCAAACATATCCATGGCTTTGTGCAAGCCACTTGTAGCATGCATCACCAATTTTGTTGTATTACCTACTGCCACCCGCTGGCAGGAAAAGCTCATTTATTTCTCTGATACTGCACTGCAGGCACAGAGGAGAAAAAGGAATCAGTAAATACTGTTTTAGGACTAATTAGGCAGAAATGGATAGTGTTCCACAAAAGAACAATTCCTCACAGTGCACTAGTGTGCCACGGCACAGACAACCCATCTGGATTAAACACTAAAGAATAACCATGAAAAATGGTCCTAATGTGTCCAAATGGGGCCTCCATGTAACAGAAACTAAAAGATTGCTTCCAGGTTTGTTGGCAAATTGACCGACAGTCACTCTGAGGGGTTGTTCACATTTGTAGCTAACTTCTGTCTTTAGGTATCTGATAGCGCTAAATACATGTCTGAACTTCCTCAGTGTCCATTGAACATGTTTTCACTCAAACCACCTTTGTTAGATTTTTTTTTTCCTCTTCCCCTCCAGCTAAAAGTTTTAATGAAGTGTTTATTAGAATCCTAAATAAAAAATAGTATTTTTCTTGTAATTGTGTTGATGTCAGTGGATTACAGGATGCTGTATGGGTGATTCTGATTGTTGTAGAGCTGGCTGGAACCTCATGTCGCTTTAAGCCACAACAAATCTTTACAGATGAAACTCTTTAGTCTTCGCTCTTGACACTGAGCTCTATGTGACGATGTTGCTCCTTTATTTCCCTCATATAGTGTCTAACTAAGCTAGGGGTGCACCGATAAATCGGCCCCGATTTTTTTAATTTTGGGAAATCTGAAATCGTCCAATACTTGCATGAGAAACCAATTTTTTTTAGTTTTAACTATTGTCTGAACTTCATTTATATTTCAGAGCACTACCTCATGGTCAGTTAAAACAAGATTGTATTGTTTCTAGGATATTGTTCGAGGGTATGTTTTTCAGCAAAATAATATTGGAAAATTGAAGGTGCGTTGTGACCTGACAGTGTCGCTTATGAAACAAAATCGGCATCGGCCAAAATCGGAATCGGCAGGTCAGACTTTTTAGAAATCTGTGATTGGCAACGGCCAGAAAACTGCAATCGGTGCACCCCTAATCTAAGCCTGAAGGGCCTAGCATACTCCATCCAAAGCCGAACAATTGACTTGAGATAACATAGTGGTGGTACGTTCATTTTCGCATAAACCTTTCATAGCCTATGAAATATATAGGAAACCCCTCCCGATGCAGTATACGCCACTACACAGGTTTCTTCCCTCCAGAGTCTCCACTTGTCCCTGCATCCGCTGTTTGGCCACAAATCTGTCAGGAAGATAGCGTCACACTTTTCAGCAGACAGACTCCTCCATACACAATGTCTGCACGATCTCCATCCCAGAGTTTTTGGCCATTTGACTAATTTAGTGTGGAGTCGTACAGTTGAATGTCCGAGCGAGTTTCCGCATTGACGAACACGCCCATAAACTTCCCACCAATCATGCAATACTTGGCGCATACGCCTGTGAGAAAAAGTTTAGTCAAGGCCTTGTGTCGAGAAGCTGCTTTATGAACAAAATCGCGTAATTTTCGACACTCAACTATGTCAACGAGAATGCAGGGCCCTTAAGAATTGAAACTTTTAATAAGTGCAACTCAAATGGTTCTGAACCGTGTTAACGTCAAAACACTATAGTTCAGACACCTGAATGTAAACGGTGAATAGACTGTACTTATATAGCGCCTTTCTATCTTATTAAGACACTCAAAGCACTTTACACTACAATCTGTGCCCTCATTTACTCATTCATACAGCACTCTACTAGATCTATACAAAGACTAATCAGTGTTTTAGATCACATTCATACATCGATGGGACACACATCAGAGGCAATGAGGGGTTCAGTATCTTACCCAAGGACCCTTCGACATGCGACTGCTTGTGGATTTGAGCCCCCAACTCTTGCATTGGAGGAGTATTGCTCTAACCACTCAGCCACAGCTGCCCTGTGGCTCCGCCCTGTGGCTGAATGGTTAGAGCATGTCAATAATACAGAAAAAATCAGCAGACTTGCTGATGTCCTGTTTGTGCGTGTGACATGACTGTATGAGTCTCTGTATATAGTGTGGGTAGTGACTTCCTATTTGAAAACGTTTGGTAATAACAAATGTGAAGAAGCTTTGAGTTGGAAACACACTAACAACACTCATTCACTCATATTAACAGCCAACAGAACCAACCCTTTACCCAATGCATATTCCACACTTAATTATGCTATTGTAAATCCCACTTCTCCCGCCTCAGGTTTACTAATATGACAATGCTGCAAACCAATTTCCCTATGGGGACAAATTAAGCTATCTGTGGAAAACCATTTCTACAACTTTTGGTTCCAGCCACTGGAATATTTTAGCTGGTCTTGTTTTATTACCACAGCCTGTTTCTACTAACAAAACTTGGTGATACCAAAGTGTTGTGTAAGGGGTATACCATGAGGTTTTATCACTGGAATGTATTGTTTTTAGACAATTGAAAATTAGTTCGGAAGGAGCTGGCAGAGTCTCCTGTTGAAGATTTACTGGCTTCCTGCTCCCTCCCTGCTGTTGTGACAGTTGACGCTTTATCGCTGCCGAGCACAGTATGCATCAAGAATGCATCTCCACACATTACTGGGCCCATCCGATCTTTAACTCGGGGCTTCAAAGCAGTGCACCGGCTCTGGACTGTTTATATCCCTGCTGTCTAATTCCCATTGGCTGCAGAGCTGAGCTTTCTTACATCGCATCCACATTTCTGCCTACTCACTTATCTTCTCTAAACACTCTTCTAATTTGTGTGCGTTAGACGGATTCCAAGGTGAACGGTACGACTCTGTCCTCTCCTTCCACCTCCTCTCAGCGCTCCGACTCCTCCCTACCTCTCCTCCGTGTGGCTGCCAGCCAAACTACTGATACAATGGGTAAGAGCAGACTCTTCAAGGTACTTTCTGAAATGTTCAGCTATGCTTTAAGAACCCAGTGGGAATTCAAATATAATTTATTTTCACATTCACATTGGAACATTTTATTCTCTGGATCGGCACTTTTGCGCCTTTTATGCTTTTCTGTTTGCTGTTCACTTCTAAAGCATGACCGTATTGTGTCTAGAAATACAAGAAGCTGCTACACATACACAAAATTAAATGGTTCTACTGTTTTCAGGTGATGATGAGCTGTCCAGCCCGTCCCAAGATGCATCTGGTTTGGAGGAAGTGATGGAACAGCTCAACAACACTTTTCCCCACAGCCAAGGTATAGAACGCTGAATTAAATGGGTCAGCCATCTCCTGCCTTTTTCTGTTACCATAACGTCAGCTTTGACAGTGTTTCCAAAAGTGTAGACACATATACATGATAAATTAAGATTTGAGAAAAGTAAGCGACTTACAGTATGTCTTTGATTAATATATAATTATTAACATACAACTTCGGTGATTGTCTCTAACCTATACAGGGTCAGATGTATACTCACCTCATTTTAAGTTCTCAAATGTCTTAACTTCACAAGGCCTACAAACTTCTTGTTAATGATCATCATTGACTCCTGCTGGTCGTTTGTCTTTGCTGGCATAAGCTGCAGTTATTGGATTGCTCAGTACTCGGAACAATGGGAAAGTCCAAGGAACTCAGTAAAGGTCTGTCTACTGGGGAGAAGTGCAGATGTACAGAAGTTGGGGAAAAGTTTTTGGAGCCATTTCCAGTGTTTCCTCTAGGTCACTTGCCTTGGCAGGGCGCTCATCTCTTCAGGGGTTTTTTGTCGGATACACGTATTTTGCGCACTAGCTTAGCACCGACAGTTGTCAACTGAAGGGGTTGAGGGGACTGTGGGCGAAGAACATTTCAGTAAACAAGGCGCTTAATTCTGTTGACAGGGCAGAGCACCCTCTTTGGATAACGGTAGGGGAAACACTGCATTTCTAAACCAGATATCAAAATCATCAGTTTGAATAATTTTAGGTAAGTAAAGTTATTGAATGAATGAGTGATTTATCATCACTTCAACGCGATCTGGAAGAAGATTCAAAACTGCAGCCTTCATATGAGAGGAAATTTGTTTAAATGTTCAGTAACAACCCAGGAACTATTAACCCAGGAACTATTAGGCTCAAGTCTGCCATGTACCAAAAACTACTGGAACACCAGTGTACCTGTCCATAGTTAGACCAGTTTTACATCACCATGGACTGAGGGGACCAAGAAAGAAGATCCTGCTCCAACAGTGACCCCTTCAAGTTGGACTGAAATTAGCAGCTGACCAGATGGACTAACCAAAGGCCATCTAGATGGAGCTTTATTGTCAGATAAGACAAAGATTGAGTTATTTGGCCACAAAGACAAGAATTATGTTTGGAGGACTCAAAAGTTATGTTTTCAACTCTGAAGCTTGGTGGTAGAACCAAGCTGTTGTACTGGTGTATTCCACAGAGTGAATGAAATTATGGAAGACTGCCTCTAAACTCTTCATCCTCACCCAAAATCAACAGCTAGACAAATTTGGACACCACTAGGTTCCAACAGAACAGTGGTCCCAAAAACCATCCAATTTAAATCAAACCATCCATCCATCCATCCATCCGTTATCTTCCGCTTATTCCAAAGTCAGGTTGTTGGGGCAGCAGCTTGAGCAGAGAGGCCCAGACATCTCTTTCCACAGCCACCTTTTCCAGCTCTTCTGGGAGGATTCCAAGGCGTTCTCAGGACAACCGAGAGACATAGTCTCTCCAGCGTGTCCTGGGTCTTCCCCAAGGTCTCCTCCCAGTCGGACATGTCCGAAGCACCTCCCTAGGGAGGCGTCCAGTGGGCATACTTGCCAGATGCCTGAACTACCTCAACTGGCTCCTCTCGACGTGGAGGAGTAGTGGTTCTACTCTGAGTCCCTCCCGGATAACTGAACTTCTCACCCTATCTCTAAGGGAGACATTTTAAATTGACTGCCAATTCTGCCTAGAGGAGTTGTCAAATTTCAGTCAGGATTCTACCAGAAACTTATCCAGTGTTTCCCCTACCACTATACAAGGTGCCCCGCTTTGTCAACAGAACCCAGCGCCCTGCCTACCAAAATGCCCCTCACCCCCGACAACTGACAGCTCTGACGCAACGCCAAGCTAGTGGCACACGCAATTCATACTCACTAGCTAAAATGCTACAGAGGTAGCGGTCTGTCTCCCCTGTCAACTGCCCCCCCCCCTCCCCCGTAGACAGATGAGCACCCTGCCAAGATAAGTTACACTGTTGTCGCTAGATGGAACAAGTATGCGATGTGATTCAGTTATTGAGGTGCAACTTGCTTAAGGACATTATACCAATAAGTGGGAGGAGCATAATTTTTACTTTCTGTGGGTTAGAGAAAAGCTACAAAAAATTCAAACTTGTACACCCTGTTTTTTGCTTTTCAACGAAATCATTGAAGTTGTAGGTTGTATAATTATTCCACCCTGGAAATAGATGTTTCAAATTGTTCATCAAAACTCCCAAATTATTTACTGTCAGGCCCCATGATGAATGGATGTAAACTTCAGACTGTGTACTTGAGACACAGCAACACTTTTAGACACTTTCCAGTGTCTGTATTACCAATCAAAGGATGACTTTTACCTTTTCTCTTCCTGTCTTTTTCTTCCTTACCTCCTTTTTTCCATGAACCAGGAGGGAGAAGGGGATATCCATGAGAGGTTAGTGGCTCTGTCGTCTCTCCCCCCATGTTCTCATCTCACTCTCCGTCTTTAGAGCATGTTTGTACTGCAGTCAAACCACCTTTGTTCTAAGTCACTGTCTGCAGTTTAGCCATGTCTCACAAGTAAATTAATGTTTTGATGCCAACAGGGATAACTTGCACAAATAACACTTTGTATTCCATTCAAGCAAATTTATCACCAAACAGTTCAGTAATACCCATCTATCTATCATACGTATTATTGTGGGATCTTTAATTTTTCTCTTTGTAATGCTACACAAGTGAGGCCATTGTTGTGTGCACCTGACCACACCCATCGTGGTTTGTGTTAAATCTGTATTATTCATTCAATTTGAACAATCAACAGTTTTATTTTGGGCCGCCTGTTTAAACAGAAAGTTTTCTTATTTGGGTTTGGAAAATGTTACACAAACTAATAGAACAAAACAAGAACTAAGGAGTGTTTGCTTCTAGTACGTAGACAAAAGCTTCACGCAAAAATGATAAGTAGTACAGAACTGGTTAACATCAAATTTGAAAATTTCATATTAAATTAAATCATATAAAGTAAAATTAGATTGAAAAATAGCTTGATTTCAGCGATATGAAATAATCAAGAAAATTATTTGCCATATACGGTTTCAAAGATCCCATTATATAATATAACTGCTTGCTGTACTGCTTCTGTGGAGTGTTTTTCTAGATGTGTGAGCTATTTATGCCAGAGCCCATCAGACATATTCACATCTGATGGGAGCGGGGATCAAAATCAGAATAAGCTTTATTGTCATTGTACCAGGGTACAGTGAAATTATGTTCGTACAGTTGTTCGAAAGATGGGCGGAGTGCATGTTGCTGCTGCTATCATAGCGCGGCTCCTTATTCTTTAATATCAGAATATTTTTAGATAGAAAAGGGGAAAAGGTTATGAGGGTGGGATAGTTGTATTACAAAAAAGATCTCTTCACATCTTGTCCTATCAGGACACGATTTGAGACTTCAAAAAACTCTACCAGCAAACACATTACATATGCATTTGCGTCAAGATGTTGATATTTGTCCATGAGCACTTTCAGATAATAGGCCATAGTCCTAATAAGATGTTGGTCAGCTGGCTGATAAGCCTGCACAGAAGTTCTCGGGGGTGTGGGTGGGTGGGGGGCTGGGGTTTGTGATAGACTAAGCTTTTTCCCTAGTTACCCATGTCCCAAGAGAAATTTGATAGTCATCTCGTATCCGAGGCCAAATGGGGGATTCAGATTCAGATAAGCCACAATTTTTGATTTTTCTTCAGGCAGACTGTTTTTTTTCTCATCAACCTCGAGTCCTGCTGGAACTTTCTCTGTCCCAAATGGCCAGATTTATGGGTATTCCTCTCCACTGATCCGCGTCATGAGCTTCCCCAAGGTTGATCCCACATGCTGACAAGTCGTAGAAACCGCAGGTGACCTGTGATTTTCATGGAGTCTGCACAAAGTATTGTGCAATTGGTCGTCTGGATACAAAAGAAGAGTCGGTCTGCCGGAAAGTGTAGCGTTCTCTTCTTGACACCTTTGTAACGACCCAAACAGTGGATGCAGGAATGGAGTGGAGACCTCGGCGGAAATAAACCTGTGCTGGCGCTGTATATCACTCTTCAGTGGGTGGGTATTCCTGCAAAGCACCGGAAGACGAGCACCAGATTGGCTTCGGATGTAGTATAAAACAACCTTTAGTAATGTGCTGTTTGGCTGTACCGACCCATGCCCATACACCTAACAAGGTGTAAGGACAATATGGTTCGATGCATCTGTCATAGAAAATCTGATTCACCAACGATCAGGTGTAGACTTCATCAAATGTATTACAAAACTTTTGGAGAACAGCCAGACTCACAGAGAGTCAGCGCATCACAAGTACAGAACGTATTCATGCCGTTCCCTGTCCGAGTTCTGACTCGTTCAAACGTCCTGAAATGAATTTATTAGTTTTATAGAAACTCATCATAGAGGCGTTGAGGAATCGCGGAAAACAAGCATCTCTCAACGATTCCCGGGGAATTAATCACGTGTCTACCGTAACATTCAAAAGTCTTGAACAAACAAAAACGATGAATCGTGACCTCTCCGCTGTCTTCTTACAAATACTAAGAGTTCTGGCAGTGATTCACAATGACCTAAAGTAATAAAAGGATTATATAGGTAATAATATAGTAAAATAGTATTAAATGTACCAGGAATGAGATGAGTAAATTGTATATTTCCATCACGTATCACCATATCCCATCCCTAACATAGATTCATGGGCTATGTGAGAGGACCGTAGCACCTTAATGTCAACACACGCCCACCCTCGGTTGGCGTTCAGCTGTCAATCCTCCTCTTCTGTCTCCCCAGGTCCCCACATCAGCAGTTTGTTCCACATGGCCGACGATCTGGGACGCGCCATGGAGTCACTGGTCAGCGCCATGACTGATGAGCAGAGCACCCATCAGCAGCGGGCTCCACCTTTTTGATCCCGTCCACCCCCCCCCGAACCTACATATCGCATGTTTTTTCTAGTCAAAACAACTGGATCGAAACTGTTTACACAGAGAATATAACGTCTATTTTTGTGAAGGATTGCAGTTGAATCAACAAGTACAAAAAAATATATATATACTAAGATAATTTTCTGTAGTTTCTTAAAACGTCCTGAAGTTGTTGGTTTTTAATCTTCTATGCAACTGTATAAAACGAGTGGTGTGGGGAAACAAAGGTACACGTTTGTCCTCAGACCTGGGTTTGTCTTTCTAACTGGAGAAAACTGAAGCATTTCTCACAAATAACTTTTTTTTTTTTTTTTAAAGGTCATCATCTTTGTGTGTGTGTTTGAGTGTGTGTGTTAGGTGCTCCCTACTATTTTATTTTTCTTTTATTTGGGAGAGGGGAGGTAAAATCAGCTAAACGCAGTCTAAATTACCCTAAAAATAATCTCACAAAACACCAACCGTAAAAATATAGACTATTTTTTAAATTGGAGCTTTTAGTTGAAAAATTTCATAACTGCAGTTATGATTCAAATAAACCTAACCTGCTGTTCTAAAGTTTAGCATATTTGGGCATAATAAAATTGATCTGGTCTATATCAGTTTCTAACATCTAACCTCAAGTGCACAGAAACGCAACAGAGTCCACCGTCTCTTATTTATGAAACTAAAATAAAACCCGAACAGAAAAGCTGTTATAAACATCGTCCAGCAGCTCGTAGAGTCTCGAGCATCAATACGTCTCAGTAACGTTTTCTAGATCAGGGATTCTGGGGGTCCTACCCCAGAAAATTTTTAATAAAGTACCGTATTTTCCGGCATACGTCAGTTTTTTGCATAGATTTGTCTGTCAGTCCTGCGACTTGTACGTCGAAGCAACTTGTATACGTTTTTTTTTCTTCCCATATTCATAACGCTATTTTTGACTTGACGCTTTAAATTTCAAAGAACTGCAACAGCGAGTCCTCCCGTGCACGCTCGCTTCACTCTGCTGGTGCAGGCGGAGGAACACTGGAGAGCTAGCGGCTCCAGCTGCGATGGATGGATGGCGCTGCACCACCCAGGCAAAATGAAGCTGTTTTGACAATTGAATAAATGCATAATAAGCGCGACGGGTCAGCGATGACGCATAATAGATTAAACTTATACGCCGAAGCGACTTATGCCGGAAAATACGGTAGATGCGATTTCCTGCATTTTGGCATATTTTAACGGCTTGTTAAATATCTGCGTGCTTGTAAAAAAAGAAAAAAAAATTTTTTTGGGGACCCCCACACACCAGCTTGCGGACCCCCAGAAGTCCCCAGTTGGAGAACCACTTGTTCTAGTTGGTTGTGAAGAAAATTTTGGCCCACTCGTCTTTACAATGTTGCTTCAGTTCATTGAAACTTCTGCTCAGCTTTCTGAAGCTCCCACAGGATTTCAAGCAGGCGAAGGTTCTCCAATTTGAGATTTTGGCATTTCTCCGAACATTGCGCAGTCTGACCTTTGGGGTGAATTTGTGGGAATGTCCACTCCTGGGTAGACTGGCAGCTGTCCTAACCACTTGACAACGCTTCTTTAGAATGATGGAGTCCAAATAGTTTGAAAATTACCTTTAGCAGGTTGATTATCAGCAACCGTTGTTTCTCTGAAGTCATTGCTGATTCGAGTTTAAGCGTTAAAATGTCCATCAGCAGACCAGTGTGGTTATGTTTTTCTTTACTTACATAGTTCCCTATAATAAAAAGAGCTCATTAAAGACATTTATAATTTCTTAGAATTAAATGTCTTTGTATTTTTATTTTTATTTTGAATATAATAAAAATGAGCCAAATATTTCCTAATTTCAACAACTTAAACATAAATCTTTGCTGGTTTGATACAGTGGGGTCATCCTGCTGACTGACTGGTCCAGCAGGGACGGTAAACTTCCTGTCAGGTGTTCCGAGTGCGTTGAATGGCGCACAGGTGGAAAATTTCCAGTTAATTTCGGGGAATTTTTCAGAAACTTTCCATAGGAAGTTAAGCTGGTGAATGTTGGAGGGGCGTAGTTTAAAAAACGTACATCTGAACAAAACTGTGTTTTATTTTGTCCACTAATGAGTTTCATCTAAAGTTTTTAAAAGCAACAAATGTATTAAATTTGTTTGCTTGGGATGACATCACAACTTTTAGAGTGCAACGGTTTACGAACATTTCTATAGTTCACTTTTACTGTAATCCTGTTTTAAAATTCATTCACACATCTGGTTGATTTTGTCAAAATAATGCTAAAATATATATGTTCCATGCTAAATAAAATTATTAAGGAACAACTTTCATTCTATTAAATCCAGATATATTCCTATCTTCAATTCACTTAGAAAGTTTTTTAACTTCGTAAACTTGAAAATTTTCTTCCCAAATTACAGCTTGTTCAGGTTTGGATTTAATTTTACGGTTATTGACACGTTAAAATGTTTAAGAGGGAAAATTAACCTAGCTACAAAAAAAGGGAATTATCTCACCGTATTTTTCGGACTATAAGGTGCACCGGATTATAAGGCGCATTAAGCAAAACTTATCATTTTGACAGATTTTTGAGCACCATGTACCACATAAAATTGATTCAAGGTCAGTAAGCACGACCTGAATTAAAACATAAGGTGCACCGGATTTTGAGGCTCACGGTTAAATTTTGAGAAAATGAAAGGATTTTAAGTGCGCCTCATACTCAAAAAAATACGGTAATTTAAATACCATAATTTCTGATTATTGAGCGCACCTGAATGTAAGTCACTCCCACTAAATTAAATAAATAAATAAATAAATTGGACATATATAGGCCGCACTTGTCTATAAGCTGCAGGTGTCTATGTTGTAACATGAGATATTTACACCGAAATTTTTTTTTTTTAACTTCGTCTCCCCCCATTGGAACAATGAAACTTGGTTTCATTCATATTTTTTCCTGATTTTTAATTTTTTTTTTTACCTTTATTTATACATGTAGTCTCATTGAGTCACAAGGACCCCCCCCCCTCCCTCCCTCCCACACCACACCAATGAACAGAATGAGT